TGCCATCTGTTACGCCGTGGTCAGGTGGAAAATTTAACGATCGTCGCGATGCGTTAGAGAAATATCGCACATCGATCTTTATGCGACTTCCGTCGACGTATCTGCATGCATGAAATGTACAAGCGTTATTGCGCGCAAAAGCCGACGGAAGGCAATCGATTAAATCATCACCGAGTATTCTCCACGAAAAATTGATTTTTTCGTCACGCCAGAAGACTGAAACGCATGTGCCTGTGAAATCTTTAAAAAATAAATATAAGTAACCACAATATAAATATGAATATAAATATGCTACAGAATTCAGCAATAGATTAAGCGATACTAATAATTACCTGCTATGACGTTAATTATTCGAAGGTTATTTTTTACATTGTCGTATAAAACAATCTTAATAAAATAATACAAAGGCAAAATTCGCAATAAATAAATTGATCCATCGATCAAAAGCAAACCAAGATCAAGGAAGCGTTCCACAATCATAGCTGCGACCTTTGCGTTTAATGCGCGTTTATGTACGCGTGTGATCGATCCGCTCGAATATGCTTGAGCGTAGACGAAAAGTTTAAAAAAGAAGAAACAATATGAAGGGAAGGGAGAGCAGAAGAAATATACGCGAATGATCTCGAGCAAGATTATAAAATGGCGTCCCTCATCCCCGTGACCGTTCTTAATTTCGCTCGGTTCCTTTTGTCCTCTCGCGCTCTTTCTCCTCGCTTCCTTTTTTCTTCCTCATCTTCTCGTATTCCGAACCCCATTCTCTCAGCCAGTCGCTATCTTTACTTACGGCGGCTCCTCGTTGCTTATCGAATCGAAAAGAATCAGCAGCTCGAGCTCAAAGGAATTCCCAACGGATGATTCTTGAATTCTTTTGCACGACGATTCCGATGAATACCACCGTCGTGACGCACCAATAGGCTGCGACAAATTAGTATCGAGTTATTAAGCGTGAATAACATATATTTTTAGAGATTTTCAATACACGTCTCAAAATAAAATTTTTCTTTTTCTGCTTCTCAGTTAATTTACTCGTTTCTTCGTCTGTTTATTTTTAATAAATAATAATAAACATGTTGGAAAAGCAGACTGTAAATTAATATCTTATTTTATAATTATGTAATTATATTATATTATTATTAATATAATATAATTTATTCAGATATATTATTATATCTCAATAAATTTGGAAGATAAATTTGGTTCTTGAGCAACGTGCGTCAAAAGTTTTTAAATTACGATTAGATTAGAATTAAATTACAATTAGAAAAGAAAATTTTGTCAAATTTTGATTATAGAACTGGGAATATGTTTGGTCGCATACAAATGGCATTTTGTTAGAAAGAAAATAGCATATTAAAAACTAAGAGAGATCATTTATACAGCGTTCTGTTTTTATTTCATAAAGAAAAAAAAAATAAAAAGAAAAAATGTGAAATATTGGATGGAATATCTTATACAATTTGGTTTATTAGTTATTAGAATAATTTCGTAAAATTCAAAAAAGTTGATGTTTGTTAAGGACTATTAAATTTATCTCAAAATACTTTATAAGATTTTTTTATTTATTCTCTTAAATAAACAAAAATTTTTAACGCAATAACTACAATATATGTTTATTATTTAAAAAATGGAAGTATATAATAAAATTAAAATTGAACAAAAAACTATATCATTAATGTTCGTATTTGCATTAGTATTTATTTATATTCATGTAATCGTGTTTGCAATTATAATCGTAATTATATTTGTATTCGTATATTCGTATTTGTCCTCTTTCTGCAGCGACAATCTGTACACGAATTATACTGTTTTAAGTCTTCTTTCGTGTATATGGAGATATATAATGATTTGGAACTGCTGTTAAAATCCGATTTATTGTCCTTTTAATAAACAGAGAGAAAGAAAAAGAAAAATAGGTGAACAATTTCAGTTCTGTAAAATTTAGGACTGCATAACTGTCGTGCACGAATTTATTAAACTGTTAGACGATGATAGAATTCTAAACTGTCACGATGGGAATTAATTGTCTTACACTTGATGTTGCAATAAGATGAATTTTGCCACATAAATAAAAGACATAGAGAAGAGATTCTTCGATATTGAAACCGCTTTGATGAAAAAGCATGTTTTATGTTAATCGGAATAAAATATGGAACAACTTCCATTATGCAGAATATATTTATCATATTTACATTGAAAAATTTGATCGAGACTATAATTCATATTATAAAATATCGTAATTATAAAAATATTTTACCGGAATAAAAATATTTTTCGTTGACTTTATTTTTCGTGGCGTCACTGATATATGCTGACTGATTTGAATTCTTTCGTGGTGTCACTGATGTATGCTGACTGATTTGAATTCTTTAAGAGTTTTTGTTATCTGTTTGCTCTTCACATTCTGTTTCTTCTCTTCAGCCTATTCTTTTTCCGACAGCAAACTTCCTTAATTCATGCGATTTTCTCTATGTCCATATTCCACTCTACAAAGTAATCATAAATGTTAATTAATATAAATGAGTTTTGTAAGTAAGCAAAATATATGTAAATTGTGTTACAAGGTTCGTTGTGTTTAAAATGCGTTGTTTACAAGAAATTCTATGAAAAATGAAAAATTTGAACGTGAAAAGTGAAAAATTACATGTGAATTCGATGAATAGAATAGACGAATTTACATGAAAGTTTTCACTTTTCATGTTTCCGCTTCTAGAGAAAAATTACATGATCGATGCCCAGAAGTCGGCATTGTTCTGCTTCTTGTTCTATTGTTATTCGAATATATTGTGACCAACGTATAAATCACGAAAATAATGTCTCTTTGGAATACAAAGAACATCTTTATCATAACTTTAGAACATGTACATATTCGATCGCTAAGAGACTCATATAATTTTCATTATGCGATATTATCCAAGATTTTAATCTTATATTAATCTAATATTTTAAAATTTGCATTTTGGGATAGTATGTAAATAACAAAATACTTATTGTAAATATGTAATCCTTTTACTCATTTTAATTGTAGTCCATTATTATAATATAATTTAGACAAAGCAAAATTTATGAGAAAAATGAATGATAAATAAAATTTAAGTATCACGTTTATGTGAAATCTAACGTTGCGAGTGAGCGATATGTTATCAAGTAATAAAGCATCCATTAATAAATTAATAGAAATATACGCTGCAAGACGTAGGACACTCACACTCTCTAAATGCGCGCAAGTAAAGAGTAAACATACACGCATAAAAGATCGGATTACATTCACTGGCGTCGTACTGCAAGCACCTTCGACTTTCCGTTTGAAAGGATTACTATCGTCCACCATCAGCGGCGGCGACGGCGGTCGCCTCGCCTCGCTCCTTCGGCTCCTTTATCTCTCATCCCTTCGCGCATCTCCTGCGCCGAGCCGGAGTCGGTGGCGTGCGCCATATTGGAGGCGGTTTAGTGTCCCTCCAATCGGCACCTACCACTGCGTGGCTAAGACGTTGGCGTGGGTGCCGACCGCACCCAATAATCCGGACACTCGCCCCACCAATCAGTCGTCCCTCCAATCAGCCGCCACACCCACGAGTGCCACGTGCGCACGAGCAACACCACTGCTAGTAGGCCAGTCGTACGCGTATCCTTGCATCGTTCGCATCGTAGCGGGTGTCTCTGATTTCTCCCGCCGCGAGATATTCGGAGGAGCAATTGTGTGATAAGATTAAGTTAACGAATAGTCGCGCCCTGTCTGTCCGTGTTACCGCTGCAATGTGTCACGGTATTGCTATAATTAATTAACGGATACTGAATCATGTATTCTCGAAAAATTTATCGAGCAAATTTCGCGCAATAAACTCCAAGTGTCCGAAGAAGAAGCCGTGCAATCAAGACAGGTGATGAGACTTTTCGCAGTCTGACAGAATTTGATGACCATCCGACACTAGAAACTAAACACGAAAAGTGTTTTCTTTTATTCTACATATTTCTTTCGAGAATTATGACGAATTTGTTCGAAGAAGAGTTATCTTGTAGACTTTCATAATAATAAAGGGTCGGAAGTTTTAATCTTACCAGACACGTCTTGAGACAAGTCTGGACCTTTCTGAAGATATCGTCACTCCATCGCAGTGCCTTCCGTTCAGCCGTCAGAAAAAGTATTGAGCATTGTGTGTAAGTTGCTCCGATAAAATAGAATTACGAGTGCAAGCAGGAAAGGACGCGATATCAGTCTCGCGACGAGAGTGGTTCATTCGCGAGAATGCGTAGATAATATCAGCGATTGCACGCGGAAGTCGCAGTAGCTATGACCAAGATAAACCTGGAAATGTTGAGATGCGAGGCTCTTTCTTTGGAAGGGGTGTACCGATCACAACGGCACGATCCGCATGTCCTGATACCGCAGAGCAGTCCAGAATCGCGCAACGTTCGCCAGGAACAGCGCAGCAGCGCGAATCGTATCGACGACTCGGCGATATCACACGGCGACATGTATCCATTAGATCAGCCCGGCATTGAGCTCGATCATCTGCCTCTGCACCTCCCGGCGATTCTTCATTGTAAGTGTCGGCAAGACGATAGCACCGAGAAGCTACTAGACAATGAGATTATTCTGATATTCGCCGAACTGTTCGTCTCTTCTAGCTGTTAGATTAATTCTGGGAATACTGCAAAAGTGGACCATACGCTAATCGCAGCGTTTTCATAATTATAAAAATTATCTTCGTCACTGTAAAATAAAAATCTGAATTATTAGAATTACATCACGCGAGTTGGAGACGTGACGGCGATTATTTGAAGCTATGAGCCGGCAAGGATTCAACGCGAATCTTGCAAAGCTAAATAATCATACGTGAAACTAAATAGTCATATAAATCGATTAATTGATTAAATTTCTGCTTCGAGTTAAGCACGACGAGCTTTTCTCTACTGATCGAATCGGTGTTGCGAAAATATCACTTTAATCTTTGGCAAATCAGTGACTTCATTTATTCATTGCTTTGATTTGTATGTTGCAGCCACGATACCAAAATGCGGTGGATGTCAGGAAGTTATTTTGGACAAATACGTTCTAAGGGTTTTGGAAAGGTGTTGGCATGCAAGATGTCTCACGTGTCGGGATTGCGGTGCCAGGTTAACCGACAAATGTTTCGCGAGAAACGGCCACGTGTTCTGCAAAGATGACTTCTTCAAGTAAGCACCAATAATTGTTACGATAATTTTATCTGCATGTGTAAATATTTTCGAAGAATATTACGCAGACTCTTTAAATTAAAATTTTTTTTAAACTATCCGTATTCTAAAATCGACATTGCGTCATTTTATTATTATATGTTTATTCAATTGTTGCACTTAATCTTACTCCTCGTCATAAACAATTTGTCTGAAATATTCACCGCAAATTATTATTACCATTATTTTTTTATCATAATTATTGATTATACTTCCGAGAAAATAGTTCGACCTCGCTAGAAGTTTATCGAAGAAAACATTTAAACAGATCTTCTCGATGCTTTTATTCGATTTTATTTGTTTGACTTATCAACTTATCGATAATATAGCGAAGTATGAATGACGAAGCAAAAGAAATGCTTTTTAAAACACATATATCAAGGATGGCATTCCAGTATTGATTCTATCAGCAATATGGCTTGTTCTTTCTTATTTATTCATAAATGACAATGTCAATTTTTTTCGAAGTTAAACCAATTTTCCTGAGTCATTTTCTTCGTTGTTTTATACTCTTTTCACCCATATTGATCTTTTTATCTCAAACATTATTATCGCAATATCATTTTGTAACGTGTGTAAAATTTCTTTTAAAATTTAGCTGCAATATTGAAATAATACAATCAAATATAAAAAATATTAGTGCGTGCAATAAGGAGGAATTGTGTATTGCCGTTTAAGTGATCGCTATAGACGATCATGTATTAGTGCGATTTAACGAATCACGATAGAGCTAACGCCAGCTTTGTCATTAATGTGTGAATGTAATGTGAAAATATTGTATGTTGTTGGTGTGGCAGGCGTTTCGGGACGAAATGCGCGGGCTGCGGCCAAGGGTTGGCACCTTCGCAGGTGGTACGAAGAGCTCAGGAGTTGGTCTACCACCTGACGTGTTTTTCATGCGCTCTTTGCTCTCGGCAACTGGACACTGGCGACGAGTTTTATCTCATGGAAGATAGAAAACTCGTTTGTAAGCCTGATTACGAGCAGGCAAAAGCGAAAGGTAAAGATACATAACACAACATAAGCTTTAATCCTAATCTTTCAATGAACATTGTTCTTCTACAAGAGAATATTCTGTTTTACAAACGTAACTATTTTAATAATTTTCATTAAATTTTAAATCATTTTTATTGCCGACTTCTGTACAATCTTATCACAAATATTTTAATGTATGAAATGTAGCAAGGAAATTTATTTATTTGGTATTGGAATAATAAAAAGGAAAAAACAAAACATAATTGTATTTAAAGTAAACAGCAGACGTGTGGATAGTTTCGATATAATAAAATTAATCAATTGTTAAGTTAGATAATTAATAAAAACACTATTTAATGGTTGATAATTAAAAATGTTGCGTCAAAGATGTAATGCGCAACTTATTTTCTCAGAACTGGCAGATGGAGGAAGCATAGACGGTGATCAACCTAATAAAAGGCCGCGAACGACGATTACGGCAAAGCAGCTAGAAACTCTCAAGCTGGCATACAACACCAGTCCGAAACCAGCGAGGCACGTACGGGAACAGCTGTCTCAAGACACCGGCCTCGACATGCGCGTCGTTCAAGTCTGGTTTCAGAATAGGTAAGAAAAGTTGAATAGCATTTATACGGTTTCCTAAACTCCAGGTCTTTCTTTCCAAGTACGAACATCTGTATCGCGTTTAATCAAGCTAAGCATGTGTATACATGTAATATAAGGCAATTTAATCCAGTGAAAATAAGGCATGGAAAAAATCGAGTGAAATTAAATATTTAATTATACGCTGTGCAATTAGCGAGCGTTAGAAACGACTTAAAGAAGTTACACGAAGAAAGTTAATTTGGGAACTGACGAAATTATCAAATTAAGAAGGACGCTGGTTCATTGTTAGGACTCTGTATTAATTCGGCTTCTGATATGGTTTCTGAAGCCATTCAAGGAAGCAATTGAAAGACTCAGGTATATTGGGAGACGTCAGTTCGAATGTACATTATCTCTTTCAACAAATTAAAAAGTAGTCAATAATTCAACTGATTATAATAAGTAATAGTAAATAATTCAACTTATTGTAATAAAGATTTATTAAAATTAGAATAATTTTTTGTTCCAAATTTTTATCTGTAAATATAATAGAGCAAATTGAGATAAAATTTTTAATTTTTTTGTAATCATTAATCTTGAAAAAAATTCTAACATAATTGATATTTGCGAATTATAATTTGCTAATTTTTCCTCAAATGCTCGATGATCACGACATTCGCAAGTTGTGTACGTACTTTCTATCTGTGCATGCATTTTTCCCTCTTATCGCTCAAGTGGCACTGCGTGATATTGTAGACAAAGTAACGATTCACCGGGAAAGAAATGTTTTATCTGTAAAAAGAGATGCGCTGACCTTTATTCAGTTATCAGGTAAAAATGATATTAGAAAGCGCCCGTGAAAATAACATCAAGGATAAGTAAATAAGCCTCTATCAATGACCGAAGATAGATACACTATGTGGTATATACGTGGAATTATAAAATGCACACGTGTAGTACAGTTTTCTAACGAACTCGAAACGATACTTGACGTAATGCAAGATTAATGTACTGCGACCGCAAGATAAGACATTTTTTTCAATATATTTAGCAGAACGATAATAGCAAATAGAAAATGGTAAAAGGTGCTAGAGAAATATAAGAGCATTATTTATCATAAAATTGATCGGCATAGCGCAAGGAGAAAAAGTTGATTATCAGTCTAGAATTAATTTTTTTTTTTCTTTTTCTTTATCGATGTTTGGATTATCAGCTATTAGACACGTGATATTGGAGCGATAAAGGGAATTTCCGCATTAGAAATTTTGATATAAAGTCCATAGTCTCTTTTGATGTAAGATACAGTAATGAATTCTCATATATATTATCAACGCAACATTCAATAGATAATGAAAAATACCAATAACTTTCAAATATTGCTAGAAATAGTTATGCGAAGAAATAATTATATAATCAGTAATATCGGTTAGTCCATGTGTCTTTAGGTTTCGTAATTTTACTCTTGGGAGGGTTCAATTTATTCACAGTAAAACTTTCTAAAGTAGCCATTCAAGATTGTTATTACTGTCATTGTAATCTCTTCTCTAGGAGGGCGAAAGAAAAGAGGCTGAAGAAGGATGCCGGTAGGACAAGATGGTCGCAATATTTTCGCAGTATGAAAGGCTCCGGTGCTGGCGGTCATTCTCCGAGACACGATAAGCTTCTTGACAAAGACGAGCTGAAGGTAGACTTGGACTCCACCTTTGGTCATCACGGTGAGTTGCACTATCATTCGTCTGATCTAAAAAACAAAAAATAGTAAATGGAAGTAAAGGTAGTGCAAATAAGATAACATGAAAAGTCGTCAGACTATACATCACGTATAAGTATCGCAAATCTTCTCAGTTGTAGTAGATATTAAGTCTATAAATGATGCTTTTAATATTGAAGCTGCATTGAATTTTAATATTATAAATAATGGAAAATTAAACGATCTCTATTGGAAACTTTAAAGTAGAATTTATTTATCTCAAGAATAAGCTAGTTTTACTTAATTTCAAATAAACTTCAATGAAATCTTTATATGAAATTTTTAATTGCTGAGATATTTAACATAAAAAATTAAACATAAATTAGAAAAAAACATGATATTTATTTAATATATATTGCATAAAAGTATGGCAGTTATATTCGCGAGATTCGTCAAGTGATTATGTATCAGTTATTTTTAATAATCGCATCAGCCGCTTTCGAAACAATCTGGCCGAGCGGTATATTATATGTGGTAAGCACAGGTAATAGCAGGCATAAATTCAAGGATGGCCTGCAATCTTCCTGAAATCTCGGACACGGTGAGCCGGCAGTTAGCCTCCGCGATCTCCTGAATATTTGAGGAGATCGTCTCCCCTTCGGATAGCAGGCATCTGGGTACTAGAATCCCAAACACACAATAGATGCCAGTCGTTGGTCGACCTCACTTTCGACTTCTAAGTTAGAGCATTCGAATAACCGCACTCATTACAGATAGCTATCTATACAAAGCTGGAAATACGATTTCAATTGTATTTCTCTAATATTCCAATTTATGTTGTTAAATTCAATCTGATCACAGCTGCAAAAATATTTGAACTAAACATATTTTGATAGGATATTTTTCTGTGAAGCGTTCACATATTTCTGTCCCCCATTTTTAAGACAAAATTATTTATTCGCAGACTTGAGCAACGACAGCTACGGAACGGTGGTGAACATGGGCTTGGATGAGGGCGCGAGTCCAGGCGGCGGTGGCAACGGAGCTGGAGGTGGACCGCCTCGTGGATACCTGGGAGCGACAACACCTCCGTATCTATCAACGTCCAGATCGCCGTCCTTACCGCCCCAGTTCCCTTACCCGCCGGATGCTGGTCTCTCGGTTTATACCACGCTCGGTAAGCCTTAAAGATTAAATCGATGTTAACTTGATATGCATTTTTGCTATATCTCTTAAGGCGAAGCTCAGGATGCACTGGTGCACACATTAAAATATCGTTACGCGAATTGATGTGAAAAAATTCACGTGGTATATAAGCAAGTAGATCTGTGAGGTGCTATAATTTATCATTTTTTTAAGATTGTTGAGAATTTCAAATTATTTTTACTGTATATATATATATTATGTTTTATAATTGGATATATTAAAATTTGCACCAGTACATCCAATCGACTTAGCTATTCGACATTTGTTAGCTCTTACAAGTATTTCTCAAACTGTGTAAATTGTCTGAACTTATTCAATTTTCTCAATATTTTAAACTGTCTGAACACTCACGACTCCCAACTTTTAACTCTCAACTTATTTTGGACGGACTTTGTTGTAATGCATAATGCACTCGGATTGAGACGGGAAGGAACTCGCGCGTTAAACTATTTCAGCTCGAGTCGCGAAGTTTACGACTGACGCAAACCGTATGATTCCAGGGGGACCGGGCGGCATGGTGCCAGGACCTGCGTCGGATCTGAGTAACGAGTCGAGCGGCGGCGGCGGCGGAGGCGGCGGAGGCGGTGGTAGCGGCGGTGGCGGCGGTTACCCCGATTTCCCACCGTCGCCGGACTCCTGGCTTGGCGAGCCACCGCCCCCGCATGCTCACCATCACTCCCACTCTCATTCCCATTACGCCACATAACCCGCCAAAACCGCGCGTCGCCAAATATCGTATAGAATAACGTACTATCGGCGTCAGCGTCGTCGTCATCGTCATCGTCATCGTTATTGTCATCGTCGTCGTCGTTATCGTCATCATCTTCGCGATAGTTGAAATGGCGATAGAAATGGCTTTCTTCGTTTCTCAAATTCTTTTATCATCTTTTATTCAGTTACGAACGAGTCTGATTTGATAAACTGTTTACTGAAAAATCTTGAGAAATCAAATTTTCAAAAATTATTCTTGAAGAATTCTTGAAAAAATTATTCTTGAAGAAGACAATGCAATAACTTCGATGATAAAACACGACGCTTACGAATTTGTTGTGTATCTCATACAACTTAAAGTCGAATTATTCTACAACGGTATTTTACACCGTCCCTCCTCACGATCTCCCGTCATCCGAGCGGCCGTATCGACGCTGTGTAACGTTACACTTATGGCACACGTACGATTCGTAATTGATACTACGACTAATCTAAATATATTTATGTACAAGTTCCTCGTTTCTCGGTATTACGGAGTTTGATTGTCGAGTAATAATAGGAGGTAGTGATTTAAACGTGCCCTGGATTGTTCGATATGAGGATTGATTCGTCGTGATTCGGCGAATGGAACGCAACAAGCGCTTGCTGATTTCAATTATATAATTAATTATTTAATTAGTTCTAAAAAAATTATTTATTAATTTATTTCATTTTGATTATTCTATTACCCGAAAAGTTGACAAAATATCAAAAATTTTAAAAAGAGTAAAGGTTTTTACAATACGAACATAGGCAGTTTTAATTCTAAAATATAATATGAAATGGTATTTGATCCACTCGAACAAAATTCGCATTGTCACGATGAATGTAATCATCCATATGACCGTACCACAGCCTAGATCCAATTTTCATTTTACAAGTTTTCAAGAACTTCAAGGAATACAGCCCACAATTAAAACCATTAAATCGATTTTAATTTTTAATTATATTTTTTTATAGAGATTTTATTTTTTACATTTTCTATTTTTTAGAGTTTTAAGAGTTTATAATTTTGAAATATTAAAATAAGAAATGCGTAATTTTTAATAAAATTATTATTTTTTAAATAAATTATTTATTATTTATAAATGATAATGTTAGTATTTATAAATTTTTAATAGGATTATTATTTTCGGTGATCTCTTTGAAGACTTGGATTTTGAAAATCATGTATCAGGCATTGGCGATCTACCTTGCTTGCGTGTGACGTTAGAGCCTTGAGATGTGTATTGTAAATAGTACGAATTAGATCTTTAGGGAAGATTGATCCAATCCAGGATATTCAATTTTAATTACTCTTTCTTAATTACAGTATTAAAAAATTGAAAAATTACAAAGTCGGTTTACATTAAACTTAATCACTAGCATAATATATAGCTGCAAATCCTAAATTTTGCGTGAAACATTTTACTTTTTAAATTTGATGATACTGTATTTTACAAAATGTTAAAAAAAATTGAATGATTCGGATTGGGAACTTTTCCTTGCTAGTTGAAGTTGCGTAAGAAAATAGACGCGCAAAAGTCGCAACATACGTTTTTTCTTATGTATTCTGTGTTGCTACTTTTGCCTGCCGATTCATGCAGCCAACGATCAAAATTATGATAACTTTGAGCTGCAATTTGCTGCTGATTGATTACGAGGTCATCATGTAAACCGTCGATAATTCATAAGCGACTTGTCATTGTGTACGCAAAGAAGAAATGGAAAGGCTAGTCTCGATGTGCAAATGGCATGTTGATAATCAAAACAAAACAGGAATAAGTTAGCCAACTTGATAAATGTTACGCGTAACGCGTGCGATAATAGCATGAGGTTTATTTCAATTAATTTATTGATTGCTTTTATACTTATATGTGTATGATAAAATATTTTATATTTATAATTTTTTAATCTTCTATAAAATACACTAATTCTGTTGAAATTATTAAAAAGAAATAAATTTCTAATGTTTTTGAATTTTGGACAAATATATCTGATCATATATGCACACAAAGTATATTAAAAGGAATCGATTGATTTTAACAATTTGCAAAAGATGGGTTCTGATATTGCCTACATTTTGCGACAAAAACGATATTTAAATATAGTTCAAAAAATATAACACAAAAATAAACAAACAGAGGAGCAATAAGTTAAAAAGAATTAATTTGTATGTCTTATATTATTATTAAATGGCATGCTTGCCTACAACACGAGCAGCAGCAGCGACAGAAACACAAGGACGTCACTGTAGAATTGTATATAACATACATCGGTATTGCTCCCAGTCTCCCCTATCATGCTCCCCTTCATCTCCCTTTAAATGTATGTTCTACCAGTGAGTGCGAGTATCGCGAAAGAAAGAAGATGATAAGAAAGGTATATTAGACTCGTAAGAGAGATTAATGTTGTACAGTATAAGAATCGTATTTCTCTCTGCTGTTCGCCGGCTATGCGACCGAAGAAATTCGCGTGTCTGGCGCAGTTCGTAAACTTCACATCACTATGAGTTATTACGGATCTTTATATTATTATCTAGTCATGGAGTGATAATAAAAATTCTATCATAATCTTATGTAGTGTGTGATTTTATTTTTACACTTCCAAGTATTGCGCGGCAAATGATAAAAATAATTATTATGGTTACAATAACAGTTTGTAACTTCTTAAACATTAACATAAAGTCTTAGAAAACTTAAAATAAACATATAAATCAGTGTAGCATTTTTTCGACACTATTAAGGAGACAATTTTATGATCGGCCTATTACAGCACTTGATTTTTTATTTCTAATTAGTGGCTTATTTTTTACAATTTTTTAAATATTAAAAATTCAAAAATATTTTATTTACTTAATATTCTTTTAATACATTGGCACAATCAAAATTAGTCTAAATATACAAAAAGATATTGCGGGTTACGCATATCAAAAAATAGAAATTTGGATCTTGATGAATATTTAATCATTGTTTTACTTTTCATTAATTTTTATAATATAATTAACATTGGCAAACGTTACGAAGATAAAACAAGACAAGAGATATAATTAAGAATCGCATAACCATTTTATCGAAGCTCTAAGAACCCGACTTTTAATATTTATTTAACAAACTATTAACAATTGGCATTTTGAATTTTACGAAAAGTATCTTCTTGAAATCTTGGAAAAGACGTGTGAATAGTTTAAGAATTTTATCAGCATCCTAACACTGTCAAAAATAAACCTGTAAGCGAAGATAAACGCGTAGAAAGCGTGCATTCACCCATTGGAACGTCCCGAAACGGTCGATTTTAGCCGCTATTAGGAAAGCAAGTTATTAGGAACACATGATGATGTAGGAGCCAACTCGGAACAGCACCATCTTTCGGTTAGTTATTGTGATATAACGAATGCGTCGATGGTAAGTGCATTGATGATAAGTGCGCCGATGGTAAGCGTCGATCTTCGACAATCTCTTTGCGCTCTTTGCTTTTCTGTGATCCTAGTAACAGTTCGCTCAATTCCGACAATTTCGAGCCCACGTGGCGAGCTGGAATCTCTCTACGTATAATCACTTCTACTAGTATCGTAAAATTCAATATGTTCAATCTTGTTTAACCTTGTATACAATAAAATGGCCCATATTTATTAGAAACGGCAGGAATCTATAGAATAATTTCTTTTCTAGCTTCTAATATTAATTTTTTACACGTTTTTTATGTGCTTTTCGCTTCTGAACTACTTTAGACAGTGTTAGGTTAGGATGCTGTTAAAATTCTTAAATAATTTACATGTCTTATTTAAGGTTTTTGGAATTTGGTGATGTTTCACTTTTCTGATAAAAAGCATGTGAGAATAGCTTTCGATGCTTCGCAGCGCTGTATAATCAATTAAATCTGTCAATTACAGTAAAATTTCTTTTCAATCGCCGCTTGGCTTTTTGCATTTAATTAATGGTTTACATTCGATTTACTTTTATGATTTTTCAATTTTTAAATTCTGTTATTAGATCGGAAGAGATGAGAAAATACCGAATATTAATCAATAGAATCAATAATATTATAGTGAACTTTTATTTTTTAGATCTTTTTTTATTATATAAAGAAATCATCACGTTTTTAAAATACCATTATATTAATTATTTATATACTTATTTCTATTATAAGAAATACATTGCATATTAATTTGGAATAATTACGGCTTTATAATTTAAATTGTCATATACTAATAATCAGTATGTTATATTTTGGAGATCTCTACACAGAAATTATAATATATATTCTGTATTTTTATCTTTTATCTTTATCAGGTTTTTTATTTTTTGATGTCATTGTATTCAAATGACAGAACTCGTATAACTAAATACAAGAACCTTTCTGTCGATTAAAAGAGAACGAAAAAAGAAAAACGTATAGTTCTCCATTCGCATGTAAATAATACCTCGTTGAAATCGGCTCAACAATTTTCAAAAAAATGTGATCTTATACAGAGTATGTATAGTAATAAATTCCCTACAAAAGAAACTTTATGATGTATTCTTTACACGAATAAAAACAGTTTTTTAAAATATAAAATACAAAAATAATTTCTTACATCTATGATATATAAAATTAAACTATATCAAAGAAATGCTTGAAATTTTTCCAAATTGATTGATACCACAATTAATGCAATTCATTGATTAAAGAAACAAATTATTATTATTATATTAAATATTAATATAATCTATCTAAGAAATAAAGTATGTAAACATACAGAAAACAATTAATAAAAATACGTAACAGAAATTTGAAGTGTTAAATTACTATCTAAATTATATGTTGTTTATTCTATGGGAATCTTTATTAAAGAATGCATTTCTTTAATCAGCACGGAAGTTCTATATATTAATGGCACTTTATTCATGGTAACTATGTACAAATGCTACATAATGATATACATGTGATAATTATGTACACACATGCGCGAATTTCTGTATATCATAAAGCAAAATATGTCAATGAACGAAAATTAACTTTTATTTCGTCGTGATTTGCACTATCATCAGCACGTGTGGAAGAACTCTTGCGAGAAAGAAATTCTACAAAAATGTCATGTATGCGTATCATATATAAATATATACAAATCTCAATGTACAAGTCCAATACTATCTTTTGCTTTATTTTTATATCCTTTTTTTTAGCGAAAATAGTGCATTCTATTTGTATGAAAATATCTCTCGTTTAAAAATCTTTTTCATTTAGAAATTTTGTAATACATAACGCCTATTGAATATCCCAATTTTTGCGTCGATATGTATCCCTTGTTCTTTCACCTCGGAAATGCGAGAAGAGATTAACTAGAAACATAAAACACAATACATTTGCGCGAATGAGTAGTTAATGAGCTTTTGAGAATACAGTTCAACGAGAGTAAACAATTTTGCGCTCTGTTTGTTCTTCATGCGTAGTTTTTGATCTATCAGTCTGCAATCTCTATTAATTGTCCAAAGGTTCGTCGAATGTCCTCGTCTTTTTGAGAATACTCCTCGTGACCATAAGCTGCTTTATTATTGCCTTCTCGACAATTTTTTTATTTTTATTCGAAGCTGATAGGTGCTCAAACGTGTCTTCTAATGCTCTTCTGGTTTTCATCAGTCTTCGCTTTAATGCTTCGTTCTCTTGTTTCAAAGCTTCTACTTCGTCAAGGCCTGTGAAATTAATTGCAAAAGCACTTAAAATAACAACTTCAATAATAAAGGTTCTGCAAATGCACTTATTAAATAAATATTTTTCAATACAACAAGATAATATTTTTCAGCACCTTCTATCGGTAATGGACTTTCGCTGTTTGTATCTCCAGCTCTGTTATTCCCATTATCTTCATCACTTAGCAAGTTAGTCATAGATTCTGTGATTTTCAATGTATCTTTCAAAGGCCTAATCGTAGTAACGGCGCCGTCACTTTCTATTCCTAAATCTGGAGAACAACTGGATTTACTGCGTCCTCCGATTGTAGAATAATTCATCGGTTGCCAATACTGCGAGTTCTGTCATAAATTAAGAAAATCAGAAAATTTATATCTCAAAATTACAGTCACATAAACTAAAAATTTTTAATAAAGTGTGCAAATAAATTTTTGTGCATATTTGTAGCTTTCAATATCAATCTTTATACTGAAATAATAATAAATTTAATAAAAACACTTAAAGCATTAGTAATGCAATATTAGATTAGATTTTTAATATATTAATAATGCAGTTTTTTAATTGTTAAAATTAACCAACTAAAGTAACTAAACGAATTCTTCAACATGCTAGCCATACATTTAGCGCAAATGCAACTGTCTGAAAGTTTCATTGAAATATCATAATATATTAATTATGTAAGTGACGTTTTTTGTAAATTATTAAAATATTTCATTATTATCAATAATATTGCATGTCTACAAAAAGTTTTATAGACAATTATACGTTAGATATGTATTCGAAATTGGTGCAAAAGTACATTTTTTAAATTAATATATTCCACAAATGAGACACAATACCAGACAATCGCATTTAGCGCTAGAAACCGAAAAACTAACGTTGTAAGGCTGATATTCTTGCAAAATATCACAAGTTTGCTTAAGCGTGGCGTCCGTAGGTATCGACGACACGCCGCTCGAGCTCGGTGCCGAATCGCTAGCTTCGCACACCGCCATGTGCCTCCTGAACTCTTTATTTGCCGATTCGAGTTCTTGCACTCTTGCTCTGTGTGAATCGTTGATCTGATTGAGATCAAATATCTGTTCGACGACCATATTATATATATTAGTAGCGACAAACACGAAAAACACTTCCATAAGCTAAAGCTAATCCCTGCTTACCTCCTTGCTAAATTTATCATGCAGTGAGTGGACAGCCGTATCGTATCGATTCTCCATTTTCCTAATCTCTTGCTCGAGTTTCAATTTGTCATTCATCAACTTGGTATTCTCCACGAGTATCTGACTATGCGAAAGGGTGAGATGGTCTAACTCTTTCCTGAGAGTGGATATAGTTGCTTTGGCTGTCTCGTTTTCTTCCTCCAACTGTTTAATTTTCTCTCGCAACTGAAATAAATCACATGATTAAATCCTGCAAATTTTTGCAACTAGTGTAAAAAAAACGGATTCTCACCGATTCGTTCTCCTTGTTGAGCATTAATAGTGTTTCCGTGGTCTTTCTTTCGGCGTTTTCCTTATACTGCAATAGTTCAGCCTTCTGTTTAGTTATTTCACTCGCCATTTGCTCAACCTCATTAATCCTTTTATCCAATTGTATCTTGCGAATGTTGTTCTGCTTGTTCTCCTTCCTTAATATATGGAATTCGTGTATTTTCTTCTCCAAAGAACCTTGTAACTTTTCACAGAACCTTTGAGACTTCTCTAACTTCGTAATAAATGGTGTTAATTTTTCATCGATTGTCTGTAAATAAGAAAAGTTAATTTTTTATATTCTGTATCTAATAAATTATAAACTTGCAGATTAAATAAAAATTCGTAAAAACTTCTTTAAATTTCCAAAGTAAAGTTGATGTATATGTATTGATGCTTTAAAAACTGATATTTAAATAATATATAATAATAAGTTACATTAATGTAACTACATTAATAGACATGGCTAACTGGTAATCTGCAGTTATCTAAAAATATTCGCTCGTTTAAGCGTATGCACTTACGCGATCGAAGGAAACTTTCGTAACCAGATCGTTCCTTAGGGCGCTAAGTTCGGAGTACAGCATATTATTCGTTTCTTTCAGCTCTTGTATCTGATGGCTCGCGTCCAAGTCGTTCAGATCGTTCTGATACGTCTTATAATAAGGCACATAATCCGCGGAGTCTTCGGAATCGCTGCAAGTCTTCGCGTACTTCGTGAATCTGGAACGACTCATGTTCTTGTGCTGCTTCTGCTGCAAACCGATTCTAGCCAAGGAGACGGTGCGATCTGGTTCCGAGAATGTTTCCGAGTCCGACTGCGACACCGGATTCATAGCCGTCTCCGCGATATTCTCGGATCGGCTCTTTCGCATGGAATCTTCGACCCGGTCATGCGTAATCACATCGGCTGGCACAGACATGCCTTCAAGAGCGCGCACGAAGTCATCTGACAGTATTTTGGAGCTGAGTAGGACGTCCAACACGATCTTCTTGTGCTCGTTACCGATAGTGTCTGCGCGATCGGCATTCTTCAACATCTCCTTCATGAATTTCACCAGGTCCTTCAGATGCGTACGCAGTAGTTCGCAGTACTTCTTCGCGCGTTCAGTCTCGTTGCCGCAACCGTCGATTTCTGCGGCGATGTCCGGCTTCGAGACGAGCTTCAGCCACTTCAGATAGTCCACTTCCTTCTCTAGATTGTTCCGCTGAGTCGTCAACCTCTGAATATATTCATTCAACGTCTTTACGTCTACCGTTTCGTCTCCGTGAGTGTAATTAAGCCGCACGGTCTCGTTCGCGAAGTTTACTTTAACGCCGATCTCGTTCAACTCGCGAATTAGACTTATCAGCTGCAAACTATCGGGCTCCTGGACGGTTTCGGACTTGTTCCGGCTTTTATCGTGACCATGCGATGCCGTCATGTGATTGTGCAGCTTGGCGATCTCCTTGTTTTTGCTCCAGAGTTCCGTGTTGACAAGCTTCTGCAGATTCTGCGTCGTCACTTGCAACTCCTTCGTTAGCTGCTCGATCTTGCGATTCTTCTCCTTCATCTCGGCGTTACGTTGATTCAGTTGCTCGAGCAATTCCTCCCTGCACGGAGTATCGTTGTGGAGATCGGTGGTGGTAATTTCGTCTGCGCTATTCGTCTCGCCACATTTCAGCTTATCAAGTTCGGCGATTTTATCCTTCAATTCTTCCGTGATGGCCTGCTTCTCCGTCTCCAAAATCTCGATTCTTTGCTCTTTATTGTTAAGGCGTTCATAAAGTTCCTGTATGATAAAAAACAGAGAATAAGTTGACGTTACAAAAAAAGCTGAAATTTTATTAAATATCATGCAATTTTGTTTAAAACTAAATGCAAATACCCTAATAAATATATATTTACGATATCATATATTCGTTGCATGAAATAATAAATAAGTTAAAATTTAAGATACATCTAAAAATTGTTGAGAAATATTAAATCAGCAAATGTTAAAAAAGCAGCAATAATCAAAAACTTATTTAAGTGTATTCACTATCAGTCAATAAATTTATCAAATTATTATGATTTTCCTGCTTTTTGAGTACATAATTTTACGTTTTTTCTTTAAATTAACATCCAATTTAGCGTTAAAATAATTTAGGTATTAATATTGCAACATTATACTATTTATAAAATATATTTCTTGTTCAATTCTGCTTTATTTCAAATTAAACATGTTAAAAATTAAAGCCAATGATAAGATATGTTGTTCACAATAATTATAAATTATTTATAATTTATAAATTTAGTTATATCGACATATTAGATATATCACAAGAGCATTGTTCATAATTAACAATATTATCAGTAATAAAATAAAAAATTATATATTTATATTATTTACATACCTCGGATTCGACTTGTGTTCGTTTCTCCAGGAGACTCTTCTCAGCTTTTATTGCCTCGATTTGATCCCGTAGGTCGTTAATCTTGCTTTCCATTTCTTCAAAACGTTGCTGCAAGCATAAAGTACCATTTCATGTCAATAAAACTCAAAACATTAAGTTCACTGGAAAAACATTTTATTCAAATAGTTAATTTCGATTACAAAATCAGATTCATGTATATAATATGAGAAACGGGCCTTCAAAAAGCGGTTATTAAAAAATAAATTGCAAAGACGGTACATGCAAATTTATGCATTCTTATGCGGGGAGCACAGGATTAAATGCGTTAATTTTTCGTTTTCCTAGACCAACATCGCGGTGGCACGAGCGTGACAATCGCCGGCCCCTAAAAGAAAAACACGTTTCTTGTAAACCTTTTTTTAATTCTTTGTTAGAAAACCCAATCTGTGACTTATACAGTAAGGCATTCGATAAAAATATTGTTTTAACTGTATTGTAATAGGAAACTAACTATATCGCCTTCAATAATTGTCAGCAATTTGTTTTTATACAGAGTGATTCAAAATAACCTGATGTCCTTGCAATGCCATATTCTTGAGCGAATTCTGAGACGATTTTTCCTTTTACAAAATTTTGTCCGAAGCTTAGTTTTCGAGTTATAATTGAAAATAGGTAGCAACTTACGAGTTCGGTACAACGGGCAGGCAGGGACGCGCAACGTATAATGAGACTGTCGAGTGTTTACTATCGTCTCATGACGCATTGCACCGTCCCTGCCTGTCCGTTGTATCGGACTGGTAAGTAGCAAACTATTTTCAATTATAACTCGAAAACTAAGCTTCGGACAAAATTTTGTAAAAGGAAAAATCGTCTCAGAATTCACTCAAGAATATGGCATTGCAAGGACATCAGGTTATTTTGAATCACCCTTATATAAAAAAAGTATACAATAAAAAATTACAAAGCTTATGTTTTTAATGACTTTTTTAGAATTCAATACTATGTACGCAATGATGCATTAAAAAATTTTTGCATTCTATGCAGATTTAAAAAATTATCAACTTACTAAGATTAATTAAATTACGCAACACAAGTGGTATGAAAAATTGTATTTATTCTAAGCTGTTACCAAATAATTTAAAATGTTTTATCAAAATTATTTAATTTTGATTAATAATTGATTTGAATAATTTAATATTAAATTTTAACATAAAATATTTAATTTCGGTTTGCACGATCTGTAGTTTAAAGAAAACACGCGAGAGATGAAAGCCCGATAGAATTCAATGCAGCCAGCATCCTCTAACAAAGTATAAAGGACAACACTCTCGGCGACACTATACATACCTCCATCCGCACTGACGGACACAGACAGGAAAACATATTTAGTTTCGAACTTTTAACTCAACTAAGAGCAGCAACGAAGCAGCGATCGATCAATCGATTCGCAAATAGATACTCTACGTCAGTGCTAGCGCGATCAGCACTGGTGAATATCCGTTCCCGTAAAAACGTTACGCCGATATCAACTCTACTTTACCCGTCTAATTATAGCTGATTTTGAATCGCGACGGCTTCCAATAATAGTAATCGGTTATCAAATTCACGATTACTAATAAAGATTTTCCACTTCTAGCTAAAAATAATAAAAAATATTTGTTTAACTTTCAATATATTCGTTATTTTCTTAACTTATCCGACACGTGACAAGTAGCGACTTTTCAGCGCGTTAGTTAGGGGTGAACAATCGTGCGCTATTTCCGGCGCGTATGCGAATCGTTTTCGTGGTATCGTCAAAGAGTTGAAGGATTAGCGACAAATTTATCTCGTTGTTGCTCGTATTGTTGTACTTGTGTACTATTATTCGTTCGGCGCTACCGCGGCTGCGGTGGCTGGTCAATCGAGATGAGTTTTCGTGTGAGAACTGCCGCGTATCGGGTACGCGTAGATCGTAAGAAGCCGCGAGAAAAGGCGACGGTCTCTATTAATAGACGACGAGCGCGTCTTCTGCATGGTATTCCCGAGATACCAGACAAGTCGCGCTTTACGGTTCTCTCGAAGATCTTTCGCCAGCCTCCACGACAAAATTTTTTGAAAACTTGATATATTGAAAAGAGCAAACGGTAAAGCGAGACATGAAAAATAAAATATTTTGCACAACGAAAAGAAGAGAAAGAATAGAAAAAAATAAGAAAATGTGATGTAAAGACAATAAAAAACAATGATAAAGATTAAGAAAGCAGCAGTTTGATTTTCGTTCAATAGATGTTTAATAATTATTATTTCTTTTTGTTTTGGATTCTAGTTATTTACCTCTGTGTTAATGGTTCTCCATTATTTCTACACAATTTACTATTTTTAATATAAAGATAAAATTGTAAAATTGTATAAACTCTTATATACAAATAAATATACAGTTTCTATAGTTTGCATTTTAGATACAATTCTTGCAATAAATAATGACTACAATGTGAATTATTAAAATTTATCTGGTTAGCACATCATACACACGGAATAAATATCTCAAAAATAAAAAATTATAAAATTATATGAGTTGTATAGTCTTGTGAAATGTGAAAATCCAATGTTCATGCCAATATATTTTTATTTTTTGATAAAATGTTCAAACTCATATTGGATTCGTTCCAATATATTCTAGATCTAGTATCGTTATCAATATTGAGTGTAAGATGTTTTTGCTAATTTTGGTTACTAATTAATAAGTGCAGGATTACCATCTATTTTATCACAGCATTGATACTAGCATTATTGTTGAATGTGTCCTGTCTAGTTGTGTCGCTTCGCGATAGGCTCAAGTTTCTAGATAACATAGCGAAATCTATGTTACCTAAAAAAACTTGAGCCCATCGCGAGGACTCGCAACTTAACAGAACACATTCAACAAAGATGCTAGGATCAACCTGTGATAATATAAAATGATAATCCTGCACTTATTCATTAGTAACCAAATTATAGCAAAAACACCTTACAATCAATATTGATAACAATAGATCTAGAATATATTGGAACGAATCCAACATGTGACTTTGAATATTTTATCAAAAACACAAAAATATATTGGCATAAACATTTGGATTTTGGCCTTACAGTCCATATTTTCACATAATTTGATTTTTACAATTGATAGAGTCAGATTATTTTGAAAAAATTATGATTAGAAGCAAACTACGCAGCACAAAATAAACTAATAAAATATACAAAGTGTGTATATAAAACATATTACACATTAAATCTTATGTCCATTTTTGCATATTAAAAGCAAACGATCATTAAGCGAGATAATCCAAACCAGAATCATGTCATCGTCAAAGAATCATGCACTAGTATAAAAGAGAAAAGAAGCAGAAGTTAGATGAGTTTAGTAATTCTGAAAGAAAGAAACGTCCGATGTGCCAAGCTACTCGATCATACTTTTCAGTAAGCAAAAGTGTCTCTACGCTTCAGAATGTGTCTGTGGTGAAACTACTCGTATGCACATTACACCCCAATAGTGTAAAGATCTCAATTAAAAAATAAAACGCACAATTCTGAAATGTAGAAATCAGCAAACAAGATAAAAAGAATAATCGGTATGGACCTGGTTGTCGGAATTGATTGCGGGGTCGTCCGCTTTGTTGACGCCAAGATCCTTCAACGAAACGTGGCCGTTTCTTCTTTTGCGCAGCTCCGTCTCCAATTCTAAAATCCTGTGCTCCTTATGTGAATCTGCATCCCGCATTTCTTGCTCACGTTCTATAAAGCCTTGTATCGCTTTCATGGCTTTCTCATGCTCGCATTCCAGTTTCTTCAACTTCTGCTTCAAATGCTCTTCCTGCTTTTGCATATTACACTGCTTTAATATCAATTGCTTTCTGGCTTCCTCTTGTTGTTTCAATTCATTCTCCCTCTCTTCCAGTACCTGTAATCCAAATTTCCGATTATATAGTCGAATTATCTCATCGTAGAATAAGCAATAAGGGATGTCTCACTAACTTTAACTAGCTGCCTGAGTTCTCTGGTATCTCCGGCTACAAGAGAACTCGCCGTTTTCTCTTTACTCGATTCGCAATCGTAGGCACCGTCATTTTTCGTCGCATTCTGAATACAAGATATTCTCTGTCCCATAGGCGATAGATATTCGTTTGTTAGTGAAGTTACTGCCGAGGGACTACTGGGTGGCGAGCGTTTGCTATTTTCGCGCTGCGAAGTGCAAGAGATGGCGATTATAACAGATATAGGCAAACATAAATACGAAAACCATGGCAATTTTAGAATTGAAACCGAAGCTTCAAACTTCTGAAGCTGCATTCTCGTTATACATTTAACGTTAAATACAACTGTTATGTTTTGAGACTACATTCATTATACACAACATGTTGTTGTTATTATTAAAATGCTTTGTTTGATAATGCTAGATGTATACTGAATAAAACAACGATTCCTCTAGTATCAAAATTCATACAACTTTTAAAAAAAGCAAGGACTAATTTAATTTACCTGTGATAACAATGCACGATAATTATTGTTGGTTTCCGTAAGAGCGTCGTCGCGGGTTTTTATAGACGCTCTTAACTGAATAACTTGCTTTTTCCTCTTCTCGGACACTTGATTGACTTCTTCGTACGCACGACACTTTTCCTCCAGCAGCGCACTCTTCTGCTTCAGCAGCCTGTCCTGTTCGGCAAGATCGTTTTTGTACCGTTGCAGGACGGAATCGTTTTTAAACAATTGCTCCTTCAACTCTTTCACTTCGTCGCGCAGTTCCTTTGTTTCCTCGTGCAGCTCCTCGATACTTTGCACTCGGTTCCTGTCCTGCTTCTCCCGCAGATGTGTCTCTACATCCAACTGCTCTTTAAGCTGGTCTCTCTCGTTTTCAAGTTCCTGCACCCAGATACGCTCCTCTTCCAAGCTGCCAGTTACTTGCTTCACCTAAAATCACGCCAAATCACACGCACAAATTACACAAATACACGCTTTTCTCGCATATCGCAAATATAACAAACTTGTTTGCTCCGGACAGTATACGGTTCTTAATTGGAAAAGAAATTATTTATAATATCGAGTCGCTGGGAGATATGATTAATTCGTATCATTTATCTTTCTCGGTTTTGTTTTGTCTCTCCTCAAGAATGCTATCAGTGTAACAACATGAAATTCGGCTTCAACGTTGCAATAAGTATTAAATAAACGAGCAAGTGGAATATACTATTCACATTCCGTGAAACAATAAGACAATACTGTCGAGGAATGCGACTCGACGAATTCCTATACGCGGTACACGTCATATTACGGGAGCAGGAATGTCCTACCTTCTTTCACTATGTGCCGCTTAAATTATCAAATCTATATTCAGCTTGCAGCAAGGAAAGGAAACAAACACTGATAATATTCCACAATTATAAAAAGAAATTTCGAAATAAGATAAACTTTTCGATTAAAGATTATTTATAGAAATATTAATTAAGAATTATATTTATTATTGCCAAAATTTAAATTATTATAGATTAATAAAAAGTTTATTAGATAGTCTATTAAATCTTTTTACGCGTTAAAATCATACAGAATTATATGTCTTCTTGTAGAATATACTTATTAACATACCTCTGCTTCGAGAGAAGTCACCAATTGTTCCATTTGTTGCAATTTTTCTGCGTTTTGCAACGCCTGTTCCGGAGTGATACCGAATGCTTCCTTGTAATACATGGATGTACTTCGTTCTCTTTCCTGATATTCCGCTAACTCTGAAATAATAAACAAACATATATATAAGTATATATATGTGTATATTCCTAAACTGATCGCACAATCAAAAGAAGCAATTTTTCAAAAAATGTCAAAAATGTGCAATAAAATTTTACAGAAATTGTTTCGAGAAAAATAAATAATAGATAATCGTAGGAGCAATGTATTTTATAAAATATTTTGAAATTTTCGAGACAATCCTACAGCAGTTATGAACCGAACAAAACAATTCATATTTACCTTTCTCGAGCTTCGTTACTTTTTCTCGCTCTTTTTCAAGGGATTGTTGACATTGTTCTTGAGTCCGAGAAGTCGTTGCTTTCTGCTCTTCATATAATTTGAAAGCCCTGGCCGCTTGATTGAGAAGGTCCTGCTTCTCCACTAACTCCATTTTTAATTTTTGCAACTCATCCTAAAAACCGTATCTAATCGTTAGAAATCTAATATCAAATTTAGTGAAACAATCATACTAATTAATGTACGAGATTTATAGCTGCTCAACAGATGCTAGCCACTTTATAACGCATTTTACAATATACACAGAGTGTGTCAGAATGATAAAAAAAAATTAAAGATTCTTATTCTTATTCTTAACAAATTTTATAAACATATTTTCTAACAGAATCATTACTTTGTCATATAATACCGAATTTAATATTTAAATCGTAAAAACAAAGAAGCTTATTTATTTCACATATTAATTTTGTTAGACAAACTTTAAAGTTAATACCACATTATATTATTAAGATATATTTTTATGCAAGGTGAGAACATTGACCAACCTTTAATTCTATGTTTGTCTTAACTGCATCATCGTCGGAGGAATTGGCGCCAGGAGCGATGCCTTTTTCTTCCAAGAAATAAATTCGCAATTTAAGTTGGAAATTTTCCTTCTGCAACTTGCTTAATTGATCCTCGTATTCTTTCATGGTTCTACAGTATCCTACCCCGCCGCCACCACTTCCACCGCCTCCTTCATCATCCCCTGATCGCGCCATTGTTGCACCTTCTTTGTTTCCAGATGAGTTTTCACCATGTGATCCAGCTGAAATAGAAAGTGTTTTCTAGATGAGCTTAAACTTAATTATATATAGTATTTATAAATATGTGATAATGCAAATTACAATCATAAATTTTATAATGTAAATCATTAAATTAGTCTACAAATATAAAAAATGGCTTTTGTTTAGACGACGTATCAGTACATAAATTTATTTGTAAATTATTTCCAAATGGCAAATTACAATGGCAACAAATGTCAATATTCTATCAAATTCGATAACAAAAAATTATGCTAATTTTATAAAAATTAATTGAAGATCAAAATAAAATAACTTTTATGTTACTATTTGTTAATGCTCTAATTCTTAATTCTATAATTCACAATAATTTTTTAACCTTAATATCTAAAAATATTAAGGTTAAAAAACATAAAAGATTTATTATGAAATAATATATTTACTTTTAAAATTCTCCACTATATATTGCATATATATTTATGTAAATCGAAGTAATGTAAGTTTACGTTTCATAATCTATGATATTAAAAAACTATACTCATACACACACATACACAAATGTTTAACTATTTCTAACCATACGTTGTTTACGTGTAATGCAGTTCTCAAATATTTATTAAATCTCTGTAAATAACTTGCTCCTTTAAATATTAATTCCTCACATTAAATTAAACGCCGACAATATATTTTCATGTGTAGTATCTTGAAAAAAGAGTAATCTGACGTATATCACGAAGGCCAGCGGGTAATCGTTCGCCTTCAAATTCAATTTTCTCTCTATCACCCAAATCACATTTCTACCGCATCATTTCCGGCACTTCCTGAATCCATATGAATTTTGAACAACCGCGATTATGCTGCACATATGCCGTGTTAAACCCGAAATTACTCATCACGAGATACTCGATTTTCCTCCTTCGATGTTTCAAATAAAACGATAAAAATAAAAGAAGATCATTTAGTTATTTTCAATGTTTAGATTTTTATGAAAATATAATTCCTAAAAAACGGAAATATTCCCTAAAATTACTATTCTAATTTAATTTAATTAATCCTGCTGATTTATATAATTATTTAAGCATGCATTTATCAAACGCTTTTTTAAAAGACTTCTTTAAAAATAACGCTTGATTATGTATGCTGCATTATCAATATAAGAATTTTTTATTTATCCAATATTTATCTATTGCCTCTTCCTAAAAATATTATTTATATTTACTACAAATAATGTTTTTCTTTTTATACTTATAAATATGGCATAAAATTTTTTTAAACAATAACATATGACAATGACATACTATTTTTAGAATAATTCTTTTATACAAGCATCTGTCGAATCAATCAGTCTATTCTCAGCCTGTCTAGGCGAATGTAAGCGGTGCCAAATTCGCCTTGCAAGATCAGCCGGCGCCGTCGCCGTGCATCTGTAAAATTAAATTATTTTGGCGCATCATTGAACGCCAAAATAACGCTCTAAATTTTTTGTGTGTTGTGTTTAACGCTCTCATATTAAATATTTTAAAATAATCTGCCGCGTACACCGATCAAACAATATATTTTTTCACTCAATTTTTAAAGAAAAGTTTAATTATAATCATTTTTAAGCGTTTGTAAATATATCTTACACGCCGTATTTCATATTTATTTAAATAACATTTTCTACGAGAAGATAGCTTCAAAAATTTATAAACGATTACAGCGTATTTTATAGTATAGTGAAATTGCAACTAAAAAATTACGAAAGAATTAACGGTCATCTTCTTCTCTTTTCACTCTCTTCAAACATTCAAAGGATACTGTGCTTAAAGCTACGCTCATTTATCACTTGTCAGCAATTGCTAACAAAAAGAAAGCAAATAGCACCTTCACCGCAACCTGTTGCTGTAATGTGTGACTTAATCCTATTAATCTATCCAATTTATTAACAAACAACGCAAAATTTCATTAACATTCAATGCATTGTCATTACACCGTCACTCACAACTTGATTTTTACCAATGATAACACAAATGTAAATAAAAAGTAGTAAATCTTCAAGGATCCGTCCTACCGAACATGACTTCGATTCTTATGGGCTTGTCCTCGAGGTTGCTTGGGAAGAGAAAAGGTCTCAACTGCGACCTACCACATCCCATTCCACGAAGAACGCGTTTTTGAAGTCGCTACATTTTTAAACGTCCATACGAAATCGTAAAAGGGAGAACGAACGAGATGCAAAAGAGACTTCGCGGCGGCTGCACAAATACTAACTGCGACAGAATAACAAGCAGCACCGAAGACACAAGGCTACAATCCGTGGTTAAAATTATGTTCTAAACGCGCATGTGACATTATATACATAGATGCATTTCACGAAGGTCGGACATCCACGTGTTCTTCTAGATTACTTGACTGTGAAAGGCAGTAATTAAAAATTTCACGTTTTTACTCGCGCAAAATACAGCCATATCGAACTGCATTCAATTGTTTTATACGTCAGAGCTCATAATTACGTCAAAAAAATAAATAAAAGAATTATATTTTAAAATTAAAAGGTTTATACGAGGGCAATTTTAATTATAATATTTTATGTATAAGATACTTATATTCGTACGATTCACACGATAATAGAAGTTCACAAGTTTATGTAGGTGAAGCTACTTAGAAACGATTATTCTCTCGTGGAACACGAGTGATTCATCTGATCTAATTAACGTTTTCCATGTTCTTCGTATCCAAAATATCACACTATTACACGAGACAAATTTATTTGCAAATGAACTCATTGTATTGTAATGCTATATTTTCTTTCTAATCAAAAGAAAAAGATACTTCATAAAGAAATATGAAATTCTTGTACTATTATCAAAAGATCTTCTTCTAATAATAATTTAGCGTGGAAAATTTCTTGCAGTTTTCTAATATCAAATATTAATTATCATAATAATTAAATATCAAATCAACTTTTTCTGTTAATTAACTTTTTATGTTAATCAACAAATTATACATCGCATTCTCTCAACGAATTTACTTTGCAACACCGTTCATTTCATCGTGTTAAATAAAATGAAAGATCATTTTTCTAGAAATCTCTTTTTAATAAAACCAAAGATATTTTACGGGTACGAAAACTTCGTCGTAAGTGTAAAAGTTAGTATCAACGTGACGATAAACATGAACGTAAATTCACTTTTGGGTTGTCAACAGCTAACACCGGCGAACGCCAACGTGATGTGTCTTAAAAGCCGACGTAAAAAGCCCGGGAAACTCGAGACAGCGTGGAATAAGAGGCGCGAATGCTTTGTTCGCGCAGCAGAACAAATCTATTTCCTGTCTAGTCCGTCCGCTAAGTCGTTTTCGCAACATACTCTACGATTTTCGGCAAATGCAACTGCAATATCGATTCGCGCCAGCGAGTAGACCGCGAAGAGAGTGAGCTCACGTATTTATAGATGACACATTTAGGCCAGAACGGTTAAAACTATCTTTATTTTGGCAGGTCAGCCTCCGCGCCGCCGATCCCCACCTCTCACTCTCTCCAGATCTTCTATCTGGTCAGTCTGACTGACAATTAAAATCTTAACATTGATCAGAGATGATCGTTGCCTCTAATTTCGCCTCGACAAGAACATTTTTCAAAGCAGATGTATTACACTTTGTTAGCTAATTACCTATTAGTAATCAAACTATTAACTTTTAATAAATATAATTAACTATTAGTATCCTAATAAAATAAAAAAAATTTTATATAAATTTTTTTAAATGATAGAACTTTTACATTAAGCAGATAGCGAAAAATAAACAAAATTAATGTAATATTTTAGATAAAATTAAATTATTTTTTATTAATATTTGTATTCAGGCCAATCAATGATTAGTTCAAACTTTTTTTCAACATAAAAACTTACAATAATAAAAATTAATATTTAATTTAATAATCACAAGCTGTAACATTATAAAATGTTTTTTCTCTACAGTTCTTTAAATAAAATAATTTTTTATATTTTTGACAATATTTACAAATTTAACGCAATATTTCACGAGAAATGTCTTTTTATAACACATCAATTAAGACTGTTTCTTATTTAGAGTTTGTATCAGTTAAATATATTATAGAAACAATGATCGTCTATATATGTGAGTCACCTCGAATTATTGCGCGAAATAGGTTCTTTTTGAGTGCCGCTGAGCTTTAAACGGCTGGCACACACATACACACACTTATGTCTGGCAGACTCTGCAAAATTGAAGATGAAACTTTGGCTCGCTCATCTCTGGGTAACAAGAAGCTGGCCAATAATTCCTACCGTAGATTTTGATTTAGAAACAAATAATTTCACCGTTTATTTCGGGAGCCCGAGCAGTAGGGCGCGATGCCACGTGTTCTTAGCTCAACGACACCCAGTCCTTTTGCAGACTGCACGTCCATATGTTATAGAACATGAAGTCAATTTTATTTTAATCAAAAACTAATTTTATAATTTTTTAAATAAAAATATAGATTTTTTTACCTAACAAAATTTAATTTAAACGATGTTTAAAGAATTGTGCTTATATTTTTAATCTTTTAAATTGATTGAATAAAATTAATGAATTGGAAATTATAGAATTTCAAAAATGACTGTAGAATATTAAAAAATCTAATTAAAACGTAAACGTAAAAAATGTAATTGAAATGTAAATGTAACAAAATAAAGAAATAGAATTTCGAAATCGTGTAACAATAATCAATCGATAATCAATACCAAGAAAAAAATTTCTCTAAATAGAAAACTATTTTTTAAATTAAAAATAAAATGTTTTCCGCAAACTAAACCGTAGTGATAAAAATAAATAACGAAATTATATTTCTCTTGTGTTTCAGAAATAAATATACGCTAAATCTCGCTACTTCATTGCGTCGTTGTGTCGTTCGTGAGTCTCCCCGTCTACACGAACGCACTTCTGGACCACCGAAATAAATGCTCGCTTCCTGTAACACGAGATTGAGGCAGGCATTTTTTCAGACGACACAGACAATCGTTTCAACGAGATTAGACAATCCGGCGCTGTTAATTGTCTGTCCTATGCACTATTTCATTGCGACGTGCAACGTACCCATGACCTTGACCATTTTACAATTTTAGATTCCTTCGAGAACTGAATTGAAGTGTGGACGTGCCCCAATTGTTATAATTCGAGCACTGCCAGATGCTGACTGATTCGATGTAGAATAAATTGTAAAACTTGGGTCAAACAGCTCTTTCAAGCCTTCAAATCTAAATATTTGGACTAAATTTCGAGAGAAAATCTATAAAATCAGATCTTATTTGATTGAAAACTTGATTTTTATTTTGATACAATTGAAATGTTGACAAAAATTGGCAAGATTTCATCAAACTATTTAATGAAAAACTTAAATAACATCCGTCTAATTTATCCAGAATTCCTTGATTTTCAGAAATACTTAGCAAAATAAAAAAAAATGTAGCGTGTTTCTCCTTCACGAACAACGGAATGTAAGATTTGGCAGATACATTGTGCAGCACATACGCGCGATACGTGTTACTATACTCGTCGACGCCCGGCGTTAACGATAGAGTAAAACCGCGAGCAAGAAAGTTCATTGGCCCCACCATGGTACGAGATACAATTAGGCGACTACGATGTCACGTGTGTACGTATTCTCACCGATCCGCACGCAACGGCACCTCGATATAATGTCGGACAATCAGCCGCAATGAGGCAAATAACGGCGGAAAATGCAGATCATGTGAATGAGAGTAACGAGCCGTGCGCGTCGGCACGGATCGCGCGTCGCGTGAATTGGAGAAAACCTCCTACATATATCCTGCTACTGTTTCTAAAGATGCGCGTACACCAATGCATATCTTAATTGGACAAGTATTTAACATTGAAATATCAAAGCATTTTAATTAAATTTCAATGATAAAAATGTATAATCAAACATTTATTCATAAATTTCAGATAGACTTGTTTTTTTTTTTAAATGCACAGCTATCAAAATATTTCCTTTTTGAAGATAAAATAGTTTTGAAATTGATAATTTGTCGTGAAACGCGTTATTTATATTTGCCTGACACTTTTTACAGATAAATGTCTATAAACAGATATTAATTTTGCAATTAAGATAAACGGTGGCAACTAGGAGCAGCATAATTGATACACGGCCAACAGTATCGCACGCGCGCTGCTCTTGCAGCTGCAGAGAGCAAAGAGGGTCCAATTACTTAAGGGAAATAGCCAATAAAGGTGGTCGCGCAAGGGAAAAAACCACATAATCGAGCAGCATTATTACAGTTTGCGATATCGATGACGATTTATTCAAGTGGGAAACCGATCCATCGAGATATTTGCCGGTACATGATATAATCATCGTTACGAGGTCGCAAGTAATAAATGTGTAATCGTTCGCTATCGATCTTCCGCCTCGCCTTCGTCTTTATAGAGCGTAAAATCATATCCGGCCATTCTTGGGTGTCCATCCCGACAAAAAAATATTAATTATACTATACGCATCATCGAAGAAATTTGACACGTAACAAAAGACAAGACATAAATCTTATCTTTTAAATACTTGATTATGCTTTATTCTGTTTTTTAAATTTGTTTAGTTTTATTTACCTAAATTTTACTATAATGTTATTATATTAATAAAAATTGTGACAATATTACTGATTTCGATCAAATATTTTAATGTTACTCACCATTCGTCAATGGCAGAGTTTGACTCATTGTGATGTCCTGTAATGATGGCAAATTGGTGCTGTAACAAAAAGGGAAAAATATTAATAATCTTGAGACTTAAACAGGAACATATTAAAATATACAAATATGAATAGTAGAAGTTAAGTTGACGCGATAAATAATTTTAGCGTTATCGAGAAGACAACGAAGAAGGATGAATGAGCAGCTATTCTCGGAATACCAAAAACGGTATGAAGGCACGTGTTCCTGACAGAAAATACCTAAGACCGAATTAGATAAAACGTTTGAAGAGAATCAAAGTAAACTTCGAGTGTTCTATTTTCAGGGTTTCGATGAGACGCTTACGACTAAAAAACTGACATAACAAAGCTAACTTCGACACGTAAGTAAGTGAACAATGATTTACAGGAGCACAGCGAGTGTAAATAAGGCTTGCTTGCCAATATTATTAATAGTAAAACACTCTACAGATTTTTCTAAAGATCTTCTTGGAAAAATCGGTTTAAGTAGAAATTATGGTAAAAATATATTTAACAATTATAATAAAAAATTGATAGAAAACTGATTACTTTTTATCACGTTGTGTAATTTAAAAATAATATAGACTACACTGAGTCCATCTGTATTACTTTTGAAAACTATAATATTATTATGTATAATTGCGTGTAATAGAAGTTATCTTTCAAAATTAATACTACTAATATTTGACAATAATAATTTTTGTAATATGCTTTTTTCTAGTTACACAAATTTCTCGTGATAAATAAGTAATATTAATTTTATTAATTAGAAGGCTATTAAGAACTTTGGAAGAAAATAACAAGTAAAACAATAATAGCTTCACCGAAATTTGCATACTTATGCAAACGTCACGTTCATCCAATTTATATACAGGCCTAACAGTAAGCGTAATAAGCCATTTTCACGGAACAAAGCTCATTGTAAATTAATCGTTTATGCCAAATTTATTTCGTCTGGGCTCTGCTTAGAAGCCATTACCGGTGCAGTTTGAAGGGGCGCAAAGTGCTCACCACGAGGGTTTACGTGGCTTTATTAATTCGCTGCAACCAAGCAGTCTCGAAGCTTTCTCTCGGGAGAGAGCGACGGAGTACTGCAGGATTTCCAGTAAGGTTTTATTTAGATTTCACGTAAATCCTATTCCGGTTCCTCCTCCGGAGCGCTGCAACGCGAAATAAGTAATTAATCTGCGCCATGTGTCTTTTACGCTGTTCCGCACCGCAGTTTCAACAAGTCGATGGATGAATACACATCTCCAAGAAGTGTATACGGAACTAGATAGCAGCTAAAGATATGATAATATGAGCGTGAAACTCCGACACACGCAAGCAACCATAGAGTGACTCAATATCGATACGCGATTCGTGTTGTTCTTTTTAATTGATGAAACATTAATGAAGAAATTTATGGCATACATTATTTTCTAGTCAAATTCTATGCAGTAAATAAGTGCTAAGTGAAATTTTCTTTGAGAAAATTTGTTGGAAATATGGATTATTTCTCACCTTGGCGTTAGATAAGAATTATCTTATACAAACTTCTTGGTTTCTCACGAGATAGCATGCTTTATATTGTTTAAAGCAAACTTCCAGTTTGATTTTTAAAATCACCTCAAGTTAAACTTAAATTTTATTTAATTATTTTTCTAAACTAATAAGGTAGTAAATTAATAAACAAATAAAATAAGTAAAAAGCGTCGATTAATTGAAACTCCAAAGTTTTTCAAATTTTTTTCAAGATTATATTTCAATATTTATATTAAAGAGTTTTCAAAATAATTTATAATGTTTATATTTTTATTTAAATCACTCTAAATTTATGTTTTACGTAAAATAAAACATTCTAAAAAATTTTATAAATAGATAATTAAAAAATTAGTAAATATGTTGCTCACATAGAGCACATTAATTAAATAATATTTCCTAATTTGTAATGTCACATCTTCTGGACAAAGTCATCCAGTTTCCTAGAAACTTTTTTGAAATTTTCTTAGAAATTCTTACGCAAAATGTATCTATCGCATATCGTAGCTAGGAATAGCCATGGGAAGCGTCTGCGAATCATAACGCGTGGAATCTGTGCAAAGTGTATCGTGTTTCATAGTAAAGACGGTACTCTAAGAGAAATACGCGGCCGTAACGCAGAACTGCAACAAAATGTGGTTTATGGAGCAAAGATTTATAAGTACATGTCTCAAAAATCGCGTATTTTCTCTGATAAAGAAGGATCGTGGATGAAACTGAGAGCCAGCTGTGCTGTGTAATTGATAATATAAAATTAACTAATTAATATTGCTTTATCATTATGTATAAATAAAATTGTAAATTATTTATATAATATTGATTGATCACGTCAGCAAGATTGCGTCAACAGGTTGAATGTAACAATATCGAGAAGCTTGCGTATACGAAGCACACCGGGTGTTCGCAGAGTCGACTAATAATCTTCGGTTATAATTAGAAGACATGTGGTAGACATAAGAAGAATAATGTTACAATTTCACATGTCATTACATAACGAAAATTTTGAATGTACAAATATATAAATGAAATGCGTCTAATGTCGCTCGTAATTTGCTACCCTCGACTATTGTATACTTGTTCCTTAAACAAAATTACAGAAATTCTTTTATACACAGAAATATAATAAAGTCGAGTAAAATTTAAACCTTTAAAACCTATTCAAAAATTGCATTTTGCATTTTTTCAGATAAGCTGTGATAAAAATAGCCAATAAAGGATAAATTAACAAAACACCGGGAAGCAAATAATGATGTGAGCGCGAGCAGAGTATAATGATTTTCGAACGACGTAATAATTGAGTTTTCTTCAACACACTCGAGCTGCAGATGCTCGTGAAGGACTGTCAGCTTTTCAGCTTTATCCCTATGCATCCCGACACTGTTATATTAAGCGCTACCCTTACCGCCAGGTTTAACGAATCCGGATACGGACTTCTCGGAAACTTACGTTGACTGGATACGCGTGTCGGATGAAGTTAAAGGGTTCAAAGACGAGTGCAAGGCGCAGTATTATGCGATAACGCAACGCTAAACGTGAGTTTGCCACGGTAGTAATTATATGATATAATATGACTCATTTATGTACTTTTGCGCGATATATTGTGAGGTGGAGTCAACTTTGTAGATTACAGTGTTAAGTATTTCCAGACACAAGTTGAAATCAGCTTTCGTCTATCAAAATTTGATTTTAAATGTAATTTTTTAATAATATTTTTGCAACAAACTATATTATTTAGTATAATATTATTAACTAGAATTAACTAGAATACTATTAATTCGATAACAAAAATAAATTTAATATAATAAAAATTATATACATTTAAAATTAAGAATTAGAAAAATACAAAAATATTATGTGTTATTCGAAACATGAGTAGCAATCTATATTTTAATAAATGCAATACAAAGACATTGCTTGTAATTGCAGTAAGAAATATAAGGAAACGGTTTGATGAAAGGGTGTATCAGTTGCCATCATCTGGCAAGATGGTGGATGTAGCAAGTAATCAATACCGAGTATATAACAGTCGCGTATAGCGGCAGCCACATGGACCAACGTGCATGTGACTACACTTTTGAAATTTTTGCTAAAAATAGTGTGCTATCAAAAATGCATTATGATCTTGTTGCATCGACCGTTTTGTGAACTGACTCATATTCACATTTTTCAATTACAAAAAAAAACATACATAGAAAATGCATAAAAAGTATAGAAGCGAAAAAAATCAAGATAGAATATATTTTAATCTTATAAAATAAAAAATTTAAAAAAAATAAAATGTGTTTATTCATGTATGTGATCGCTAACATTAATATTAATATTATCGTTATCAATATAAAATAATTCTAATTGTGATTAAATGAGTTATAATTAATCAATAATAATATTAAAACTAATATTAACATTATTACAAATAAAATATGCAATTTTTATTATTTGATTCTTCTGGGATTTTTTACTTTTATATTTACGCTACGTGATTGTTCCTAGGTTTTGCTACATATCCAAATATTTACTCAATAAACAATAGATCAAACAACATTTCTCTGTACGAGATAATTCAAGTATTTACTAAGTTACAATAAGTGTAACCATCATGTAGGTGTCATGCATGCAGTTTCCTCAATTAACAGTTCGTTAAACGAATAGACCGAGCAGTTAAATAATTAGCTGGGTCCTGTCAAAGTAAAACTTTTTGCAATGATGTCATAATTGTATGCTTGCAAGTTATCTATTGTATGCGTTGCATCAACAATTACATAATTTATTATTCAATTATTACTTGATTTTTATGCATTAAGGCGAAAGGTCTACTTCCAGGTCATTGTTAAAATACCAGACAATACTTATAGAAGACATAAGTATGTAAATCAATGCGGTACATTTTGCGTTATAGAAATACGCTTCACAATACAATGCTTACTGATAAATTCCTATTCTATACGAAAGGATTCCGTATGAAAGCATTATATTGTGAAATAAAAGCATACAATGCTTTTTACACGACCAAAACTAATAAAATAATTGATTAGAATTATTAAATGGCTATATAAATATCAACTATTTACTACAATTAAATTATATTATTATACAAATAAAAAATGCAATATTTGCAGTTTAAAAATTCATATATAAATTACTACATTCTATGCATTAATTTCAATATCAAAAAGAAAAAGAAATATAATAAGAAATACTCAAAACGTTTCGTGTACACGCTCGATAAATAATCAATTTTTTAAATAGTTCTATAATTAAATAAATGTCTGTAATTAGGAAATTACATAAATTTTCGATAAATATATTTGATACATCTTCGACAAATATATTTCCAATATCAATTCATACGTTTTGATCACATATATTGCAGTTGATGAAAACAACTATTGCCAATTTGAACAATAACGTTGAGAGATTTATTGCTTGCCATCTCGAGAATTAAATGGGTCAATCAATGGTTAATTAGGTCAACAGTATATGCCACTCACTTTCGAAAAGGGCTATAAGGACTCCAAGCGCTGGTCCTCGTGGACGGCTCATTCTGATTTTGAGTGTAATATCGGTACCCACCGAGAAGCATCCCGCGGCAATTAACGTTCGACAATAATCACGAGACAAGAACACGTGACATCCGTCCAAATACCGCGCACTAAATCCTTGGCACTATAAAGCGATCGTAACGTTCGATTCGTGAGTCTTGAATGAGATAAAGCGCATACAACCGATCAACACTCCACGAAAAAAGTAATAGTTTCTACTTTCACGATAATCTTAGAATCTTAAAAATACTAATGTCTTTTGTTTAATGTTCTTAAAATCACACACTAAAGAATAATTACATGAAACGTAATAATGTTTTTATGCCGGAACTCAGGTCCTCATAGACGACGATCTCTCGCGTCATCACATGAACGATACATGACCCTCACACGCGGGTGAGAGTCCGAAAGAGTCCGGGACTGTTCTGCGCGAGGGCGGCAGGCGTTACCGCGAACGTACTATTGCGCCTCCGCGTAGCTGGACCGATCAATGGAGATAACTCTCGCTTAAGATGACGCATCAGATAACGTGGATCTCGTGTGCGTCGTCGAATCTCGATCACATGCAAAGCGAGTGATATTCACGTTAATTTGGACGATTCACGGTGATTCTGAATAAACAGACCGATGGCCGGCAGTGCACGTATCACGTATTTGAGAAATCAGTAGATTTCGTCTTCCTGTTTTTTTGACGACAGTCTTCCTCCACCGGCGACGTTTTGTGATGCAGGGGAGAAATGCAGTCTCGCTAAATGCAAACCGTCGTGCGCACGAGATTTTCAGTCTAGTTTGTTTATTTGAGCGCTGTGAATGCTCTGACGCACCGCGGAATCACGTTTCGGAACGACTGCCGTATCGCGCGACGCACTGAAGACGACTGACGATAGACGGTAACACGAGTGAACAGAAATAGGAGGGTGGCGACGTGTGAGGGAAAGGGGCCGCAAGGGGGAAGTGAGGGATGCTGTGTCTGTTAAAGTGTAGCCTGGCGTAGGCAGAGCGTAACTAGAGGAGTGAGGGAAGAAGAGGAAAGAGACGCAACAAGCCCTTCTGTGATGTAAAAAAATTCGAGATACAAATTATGGCAAACTTAAAAATGTAAAAAAAATAAAATGTATTTTAGCACTCGGGTCTCTTTTCGTGTATATTTTTTTCTAAATAATATTTTACTCTAAATATATATTTTTTGAGTATTATTTAAATAATGAAATGTTCTTTTACGTAAATAACTTTTTTTAAGTATCTATTCTTTTAAATGCTTAATTTAGAAAAAAATATTCGTTCTTTTTTATAACTAATCTAATATTCATTTTACATATATTTTTTAACAAATAGTGAATAATATCTACGTTGCAAATAATTGATATTTTTTCCAAATAGCTATATTCTTGAGTAGAAAATATTTAATTTTTCTCCAAAATTGATTTATTTATTTCTTACAAAAACAAAATCGTATCTGTTTATAAATTCACATTTCAGTGTACACTAAATGCGCAGATAGATTACAAAGTTACTTTTAAACATGGATATTTGTTATAAATTTTCTTAGTCTTTTCGTTTTTTTCGTTATCAACGGATGTGTAAATCCGTACGCAATACTTAACGTAAACTGCTGTTAAACCAGATCAAAGAGCGAAAGGGAAAAAGGGACCCTACGAAAGCAGCATGCATACTGGTAAAAAGGGAAAAACATATGGGAGGACGAAGAAAAGAGGGGAAGAAGATACGGAGGGCGAGCTAACAGTGAATGACAGAACCAGAAACGAAGAGGATCATAAAAACACGACGCAGTTTAAGCGATCATCGAGGATGCAGCGTTTCTCGTACGATTTATTAGAATCGTAGCAATTGCTCGAAAAACAAGAATAAACAATATGCTCTTCTAAATTAAAAAAGTAAAATAGAATGCTATATATAAGGTGCCGTGTTAGCACATTTTTCTTGGTGAAAGATTTTCGAATTTAGTATTGATAATTTGTGACTAAAATTTAACATTTATATTTAATTATAAAAAATTTAATATTATTAAATCATTCAAAAAACTTTAATTCAGTAACTTTTTATCGCTATCACTTATGCGTATTCGTAAATTAACATAACAGGCAAGAAATTGATAACCACTGCAATATGTACGATGACCTTTAATACCCAGAAGAAGATAACTACTGTTAGTGCAAACAGTGAGTAAATTCATGATTTATTGTGGAATAGATATATTGAGAAGTTATATGACGTAGCTACGTGATTAGAATGTCATCTACTTTTTTAATTCTGATTTGCACTTCTCAGAATGTAATCAAGTTTGTTGAGAATATATTTTACAGAATATTAGCTGTAAGCTTTGTTATTTCTAACAATAGAAAAATTTTTAAATTAATACAAGATTTGTCGTCATCAACAATGTTGTTAGAATTCTGATAGAAATCTAAAGTTTGCGAAGATGACAATAAACTGACGACAAAAATATTGAACAGATCTTAAAATATTGAAAAAATATATTTAATTATATCGCAATAAATATATACGTCGATTTTTTGTTACATTAATATTTGCTAACGCGTACGGCGGCATGCGACTTTTAAACCGCTGAAATCCTTTGTTATTTGGAAGAACAAAAAAATAGCATTAGATACTAACGCATGCTACAGCTGGCGAAACAGCTGATAGACAGTACCGCCATCAAGAGACAATAATTGATTCATTCAGAATGTTAAAGCACATTTAACGGACAGCAGGCGTCACCTAGCGATACGAATATATTTCAGCTGCCCAACGTCCCATTAAATTGCTAATTTTGTTGGTTGGATTTTCAAAGCAAAATCGATGTAAATCTTATATGAAATTTTTTCAATTTTATTGATATCAAAATTTGGAAAAATAGAAAAAATTGATTCAAAATTATATATACCAATAGAAATAATACATTCGATACTATCAACAAAGTCAACAGTATTTTGAATGTGAATACAAAAAAAACGTATAATAATGCAATTCATTATCGAATATAGAATCCATGCTCTAACTAATTACATCTGTGTCATCTAAACAGCGTGACAAAACGAAATACGAATATGTATCTGTTTATACTCACAAATAAGTTGCAAATAAGCTCCTCCGAATATGGAGAAATTGCGTTACAAATAGTAGTACAAGTCAGAGTCCATAGATTTACTCACATGTCAAACTCCATCATTGTTGCGACTGTTTCCTCGAACTCTGCCATTATTCACACTTTATTCTGGCGGCTTCACAGTATTCTCTCGCGCGTATTTTCCGTCAAAATCAGTCAAAATGCAAGTAAAACACACGAAACATCTACTTCTCGCACGAATACGCCGTTACTTTTCAAAACTGTGTTTCGCGATACTACCACCGTGTGCGTTGCATGCAGACTGACACAACTGATCATTATTGGCCAACTTGCACTCAGGTTTACCAATACAAATGGTTTTAACAGTTTTGACTACGCCAAATATCCCTATAAAATAATAGTTTTCATTATGAAGGATTCACATTACATCTATCATTCTGCGTACATTTAGTATCCAATAAAAAAGCTTATTTTCTAGCGACAAATATGGCGTTAAATAAGTTTTTTAGAAAATGTATTTTTTTATTGGATACACTGACATTTCACATATTGGATGCAGTATGAATCCTCTATTAGAAAACATCCCAAAAACGTTTCTTTGCTGTAAAATTCTATGCAAAATAATTTATGTGAAATTTACATTTTTTTTTTTGAAAATTTAATATGTATGAAATTGTTTTAAAAAATAAAACTTGCTGATAATCTCTCTTATTTGTAAGATAAATGTATAAATATAAATAAATCTGGTTTTATCTTTGCTAAGAAAGTTTGAAAAGTTAAATTGATTGAAAATCTCACAGTCAAAAAAGATACATGATTAGTTTAAAGTTCTTAATTACAAAATAGCTATATTAGGTAACAGCACACACCGGCGATGACAGTTGAGATATCACTATGTATATATATATATGTAACTATACGGTTGGCTTTATTTACAGATAGCTATGGAGTAATTGTCGCATAGCAGCATTACAGAAAGTTATAACAATAAGACAAATACTACGGTAAATCTTGATAATGCAATACTCTTGCTGTTATTAACTCGAGTGGAAAATATTTACAATCTACGTGGGGAATTAAGAAAATCATTGTAGGTCTTTTGGCCTTGTTGGTATTACTCTGAAATATTTTTGACACTCCAGATGTTTAATATTTCTAGCTTTCAAAATCTGTAACAGCAAATAATTGTCCTTGGTTGGATAAACAATAATTTCTAAATTATTACAGATAATATTTTGAATTGTGTGAAGTAGTTTCTAGCAATATTTGCTTGAAATGGAGGATGCACAGGAAGAGGTTAGTCTCTTAATGATATTTTTCATTCTTTAAATTAAATAAAAAAGCTTAGTATAAATCTATGAGTCATGCATACATTTATCAAATATAAGCTGAAATGATATCAATTAATTGTGTTTCTATTTATGCTCTAAAATAATATTAATACTCAATACATAGGATTTTCTGAATTCGTTATGATAGAAATGTCTTTTCTTAGCAAAGATGTGTGATGTTGCTTATTTCTTATTTAATATGATTATTTAATTTTTAATATTTTAATATTTTAGTTTTTTATATTCAACTAATCACACCTAGTTACATCTTAAAAACTTATTGCTTAATGTAAAATTGTCCTATGATTCCAGTTGCAATTTGTGGTGGATGATGTGAGTAACATTATCAAAGAAGCGATTGAAGTATCAATAGGTGGCAATGCGTATCAGCATAATAAAGTCAATCAATGGACTTCAAATGTTGTGGAAGCATGTTTAGGCAATCTTACCAAATTACAAAAGGCATACAAATATATTGGTATGTAATAGAAATTAATTTCTTTATTTCAGTGCGGAATATTTTCAAATAATATTTCAAGAAAAAAATAATTTAATACCGTATATTTAAGTTAAATAATTTATTAATTAAATATATGTATAGAAAATTGCAACAATTTACTTTATTGTTTTTTATAAATTTTATATTAATCTGTTGACTAGAGAAGATAATTTAATTTGTTTCTAATCATTTTTAACTATGTGTATGGATTGTTTTTAATTTATTATTAATAATGAAAATTATGTTTAGTGACTTGTACAATCATGCAAAAAAATGGGGCTGGACTTCATACAGCCAGTTCATGTTACTGGGATAATGCTACTGATGGCAGCTGCACAGTACGCTGGGAAAATAAAACCATGTATTGCATTGTATCTGTTTTCGGATTAGCTCTTTAAATTTATTTATTCATAAAAGTAACATTTTGTGTTTAAAAAATTCTATTATTTTTGGGATATGAAATGTAGTAAGCACTACTTTCAAAAATAAAATGTTTTGTTCTAAAATCCTTTGACAAAGCTTAATATTTTTGCACAAATTATAAAAATTAGAATTAGAAAAATTAGAGATAAAAATAGCACAAATAATTTTATTATTACATGTAGTTAATGCAATGATTAATATGTGTTATAAGTAAAATAGGGTATGTACACAAGAAAATGGGGATACAGTGAAGCATATTTAACTTTCTTATATTTATTTTTATGAGAAACAATTTTCTTTTTATTTATACATTGTAACTTTTAATCTATGAAATAAACGCAAGAAAACATTGATCGTAATTTTTATACCTTTAATGCACAAGACAATTGTGCATGTTATGTAAAATAAGTGTAGCAAATAATCTAAAATCGTATACAAAATGTTCTACTTGTCTAATGAAATAAATTTATGATAAGTTAATATTAACGTTATTTAATTTTATTTTAAATATTTATTTTTATAGGTATGTATAAATAAATACAAACGTGTTTAACATATGTCCTAGTTTACTTATTAATAACAAAATTCTTTTTTTAATTACTTAGTATTTCTTGAAACATCTTGTATAATATTAGATTATTTGTGTTCGCAAACATGAATATGTCACAAGAAATAAGTAATTGTTATTAAATTAATATTGCTCACATTAATTATATCGTCAAAATGCCATGAAATAAAAGTTTATATTGATTTTATCGTCAACATGGCAGAAATAAATTATAAAATAAAAAAAAATATGATTTTTACACATGTGTGAACAAATGAACAAATTAAATCCAAGATAATTTACAATTCTGTAGTCTGAGGTAGACTTTCATTGTCATTTAAAATATTTAGTAGATTTAAATGGCCAGTATTTAATAAATACATATCATCTAAAAGAGCTAGATTATCATTTAACCTACTTCCGAATTCATCATCATCGATATATAGCTCCTCGATTGTATACTGGCTGTCTTGCGCATTCTGCAAAAATAGAATAAATATAGCCACATTAGTACATAAAAATTTATTTTTTTACAGACTAAAAATATGGCTTATGTCAACATATGATAGAACAAAACAAATTTTAGATCTAATTTCCATTATATTATAGTGATTTGTGTACAAAATTCAGAATAAAATTTAGCTAACTTACTTTTTTATGAGTAATCTTTGCTGGACTAAACGGTATACCCAAATTATTCAGCCTTGCTGGTAAAGAACGTCTTTTCAGTTCATCGTTTATTCCAATATTCTTAGAGATAGCATTTATATTAACATATTCCTTCTCATTTGATTTCAAATCTATTCTTTCTTGCGAAAACATACATTCATTTGAAAAAGCAGTTTTATTTTTATTTATTTCTTGCGAATTTGTTGGTTGTTGATCCCGCGTTGATATTCCAGATTCACTTGATGATCTTGTAATCGCGGAACCGAGTGTTTTGTTATTAATGAAAGCTTGATTGAAAATTTCATCATGCTCTACAACTTCATTATTTTCTGTACTTGCAAATCGATTTATTCCCAGAAAATTTTCATTATCAGACATTCCGTTTTCGATAACTTTGATTTCTTCTTCGTCATATTTCATTTCATACAGGTTTTCGCGTTCTTGTATATCATTCAAGTTGGAATGACAACTTTTGGAAGGTGTTGTCGAGTGTATTATCTTCGTGGCACGATCGAGAGCGTTTTTCAGATCTTGTATCGATTTATGCGGAGAAGTTGAAACGTTTATGGACACAGGAATACTTCTCACGTTTTTTGGTGATGATTCTTTGGTATCTTCAGTATAAATTTTACCTTTCGTAACATAAATAAGAATTATTTAGACATTGTCAATAATGGAATATAATATGTACATCTTTTTGATATAAAATTATAAAGAACAGATATATTCTTTTCAATTTACCATTTGTAGCTTTAATAGTATATGTATTATTAGTATCTGTTGAACTATTCTTGGAATATTGTATTTTATCATTATTAATGACAGGAGTGACGTCATTAATTGATTGCGACAGTGGTAAACTCTGAAAATATAAAATAATATTAAAATATATTCATACACGTTGTTAATAACATAACAATATAATATTTATACTTTTTTATATTCTTTATTGTCACGTCCCATTCGAGATATGCAAATTTCTTTTTCTTTTCTCCATAATGTTGATTCATAAAAACTTTTAGCATCGGAATGCAAAACTTTAGGTTGTATTATTGCATGTTTAATGCTCTCAGGCATACTCGTGTACGGTGCCTATTATGTAACAAATATACAAATAAAGACGAATTTAGCACAAAAGCTTAAAAAAAATTATTGTACAATTTTGTACTTAAAATTTCTAATCTCAAATTTTTAATTTTATGTTGAAATATAAAAATATATTTCATAAAAACATTAATTTACGTATGTAGTACTGTCATTAATTCACGCAGATATAATATGGAAAAAGTACCTTTCGTGGCTGAGCATACGATGATTTATATCGGATAGCCCCATATTCACTCAGTGATTTGAATTTAGGCTCCATAGTAATAGTATGACTAGCTGGTTTACATAGCACATAATCGGGACTGTTCGTTTGCGACAATAATGTGCTTGTAGCTTTCGGACCTGTATACATATAATTAAAATGCTATAATATATTCTAAATTTCAAACTTCGGAAACATGTTAAAAAGTATTTATCTTAAAAATGATATGTAATTAATGCGTGAACATAATAGTATATGCTAATACATTTTACTTACTTGTAGCTGGGAACGAAGAGAATGTAGAATCATCAATCCCTAAGAAGAAGTTTTCCCTCTTACTAGCTATTAATTCTTTCAATCGTCTTATATTGGTTCGTGCATCACTTTCGTCGTCGATATTTTGCACTATATTTGAAATCTCCGCACAACGTGTGCAGGGAGTAACAATTTCTACTTTGGTCACTGGACTCACAATACTATTATTGAATGTAGACGCACTAATATTTTTTGTATCATTTTTGGACTTCAACTCTCCATTACATTGTTCCACTTGTTTAGACTTGAAAAATTGATCGGGCGATCTTCTTTCTATCACAGTACGAATTGATTGGTCGTTTTTAATGAATTTTTTATTTCCTACAGTTAACGCAGGAGGTACTTTTCTGCTTAATGTGTCATTGTATAAAGGATCATTATTATTGTTTCCGCACTCATTTATAGCACATGTGCCATCTTTTTCTTCTGTCTCTTCGTATATCATCTTAAAACAAAATTGATTGTAAATAATTATGCATCTTAATAAATTATAATTCAAAAAATCAATAATTGGCAGGTGCTGCGCGAATTCTAGAGAGAGAGAGAGAGAGAGAGAGAGAAGAGAGAAAAATCGTATTATATATACAAATATACCAGCAGTCTATGAAGTTTCTTTCCTATTTTTTCCATGTCTAATGTTCTTTTCGCCTCGTCAGGTTGTAATCCAGCCTCTAATAAATTATGGAGAATTGATGGGACATTTTGCAAATTTACAACGACATCGCGTTTTCGCATTGCGTATCGCCGTTTTACATTTGACTGATCGAATCCACACCATGGTATATTTCCTATAATAATATAAATTAAGTAAATATCGATTACTATTGAATCACTTTCAAATCGATTATTTTTTTATGACACGATATGTGTAAATAGTTTATCCTAAAGATATTATAATCATAATATGTATGTATATATACCTGTACACATTTCCCAAAGTAACAATAGTAAGCAATAAACATCGGTTTTCTTGCTAGGATTTTGTCCATAGGACATTTCCGGTGCTTGCCACTTGAAGGTCTCCAGTCGCAAGTACTTTTCATAATCATGTTCTACAGAAATCTATAAAAAACGTAATAACCGATGCCTTATTATAAGAACAGGATACATTTTTGTTAATAAGTGTTTTAAAGCAAATAAGATTTAAAATGTAAAATACTATTTATCATTCTACATTTATCATAACAAATTATAATTAAAAATTTAATGTAAGTCAGTCGCGCAAAATTTAACGGTTCTAAACCGGTTTTTTTTTCCAATTTCCTCTTTTTATCGAGATAAGATATATGATTCTGCATTAATATTGCATCCTGTAGTCTTTATTGTGGACAATAATCCATCATATTTAACTGCGATTATGATTTACGCGAGTTCCGCGTTCCAGATTGTGCGCGCGATTAACATCGATACGGTACAGTGAATTTATTCAGAAACGAACATTTTGTCGAAAACAATGGCAGCTGTTTCCGTTGATGAGACACCCGTAGGTGTGTCATGAGATCACGGATATGACGTGATTCGTTTCTTTATAGTCTATTCTGACTGTGAGATTTTTAAATCGGTTCACAATTGAGCTTGAATACGTGAACGCATACTCATCGTTAACAAGTTGTTAAGTGCGAATCAATTATGCATATTTTTATTATTTCGAATATTACGGAATAATGAAGTAATATATTAAATATATTAAATCATTTGAACTGTTATAAAGAAATACAACTTTCATAAGTTTAAAAGAAATCATTCAATTTGTGTTAATATGCCTATTTCTACATAATTTATATATTTCCAAATTATTTGATACAATAAAATTTGTTTTACATACGTTTTCAATTTGTCTGGCCAATTCCCATCCACCAAGCTTGATAGTTGTATCGGATGCAAAATAAACGCAATGCGAACTGATCGCTCCGTGAATGTATCCACGCATGTGACAGTATTTTAATGCGTCCGCTAATTTTATACCAATTTGCATAATTCTTTGTATATTTATCCGTTCTCCTTGCTCGTGTATATAATTATACAATGTGCAATCGACAGGTTCAAAAATAGAGACGAGACCGTGCTCATTCATATGCGTTGTGGCCATTAACAACAGTATATTCGGATGTCGAATTTCGCTGATAATTAAAACATAGCAATTAATGAAAAAGAATTAATGAAAGATTCTGAGAAAAACAAATTTTAAATTTGAAGGAATTTTTGTAAATATCCGATTTAAAAATGTTGAAAAACAATTATCTTAATAGACCCGTTTTCTTGTATACTACATTATTAATATTCATATAGAGATTTTACCTAAGAATTTCCACATCTACTTTTATTGCATCCCGACATGGTGGATAAACGTGTCTTTTTAGCGTCACTTTTGTGTTGTGCCATTCCGCAGAAATCAGTTCGAGATATCGGTTCTCCGTGCCTGCGACGTATCCGATTTCGAATATCTCGGAAGCCCGTATGTGTGGTACTCCCGGCACAAGGTGTATACGTTTCCGTAACTTTCGTTTGTCCTTTTTAGAAGATTCATTGTTCTCTTCTTTAGGCAGATACAGGATCCAGTCCGGGTCTGAGATATCTCCGTTTGATGTTTGACAGCGATTTGCAAACTGTTGTAACAAGTTTCGGTAATATTCACTGCAAAAGAAGTATCTTATTATTTATCTTCTAATGTTATCAAAGGCAAATAATTTAACTGTAAAGTATAATCTTAAAAATAAAAATCTTACATGTTTACAATAAAAATTTATCTCTTTTTAGAAGTAATGTTTTTAAATTATTATGTATTTTTAATAGCATCAAGATGAAATCTCATCTCAAACATAAAACTGATTAATAAATTATTATATACACATACACACAGAACATACATGTAAAAATGTTTAAATTGAATATTGCTATATACATGTATGAATCATAGCATACATTAAACATAAACTGTTGTTTACTTTAACTTTTTACAGTAAAAGTTAAAGTATGCAAATATATTTTTAATTAGACTTAAAATTTATTACTTAGACTTGTAATTGTTAATTGAACTTACAATTGCTTTAGTCTATCATTACTCTCACTTTACACATTAATGTAAAAGTTATTGCACAAATAAAAATAATGACATAATTTCACGTCAATTTAAATTATCACATGTATACACATAATACGTATTTCAGTGTTAGAATTGAAATTGATTAATCTAATTAAGTATACATATATATAATGATTTTAGAAGTGATAAATAATTTCAATTATATAATTAAAATTAAACCAAATCTTATTAGACATTAACTCATAATTATTATAACAATATTATTACACATTAAATACTTTATATTGTCGTATAAAATTTATTCACTCCAAAACAGTTTTCTTCTAATATGTAGATTTATCAAAAATTACCGAGTCATATTGAAGACATTGCTCATAATTATTTATCGCGACTTATAACACAAAAATTCAGTTCATAGCAGAGAAGCCTAGAAGCGCACTGCACACGATTATTCGCACAACTGAGGAAATAAAATGCTTGTAGCGATGACCATACAGTGAGCAGCACCAGTATCTGCGTCACTTGGATTATGCAAACATAACTTTGCAATTTTAAAATCGAGCATTAAATTATAAATACTGTATGCTACATAATTATTTGATATAGTTAACCTTTGGAGATATGAAAAAAACTTCAATTTTGTTAAATATAGTAACGTATAATAATATATAATAAAATGTAAAATTAATAAAATATAAAATAGTTTTATGGCAAAATATTAATCCTTAAAATATAAAGATGGTTAAAATTAAAATAAAGAAAAAGAAAAGTTTTGTTCTCTAAATCTATAAAAAAATCTACAAACTAATAGCGATTTAATAAATATCATTAAATTGAAGTATTAAAAATCTAAAAATTAATAAAATAAAAAGTTAATGTGTGGAAAAATATTTTTAAGTATACATTAAGAATTAAAATATTGAATTAACAAAAAATAATCAATAATAAAAATTCAGTTATTAAAAATATTTAACCATGCTCTTATACATAATGAATCTTTGAAGAAAAATTTTTTTGCAGTAAAACATTGAAACGTGAATAAATAATGTAAATCGTGTTCACCTTCTTATATGTATGCTTTTTTTTATGTATTCTGTAATTTATTCAATAAACCATACCTGATACTACGGGGATATGTAACTGCCATAATTGTAGCAGACTCACAGAAAATCTTCCACAGAAAAAAGAAATCTTTGGCGATTTTCGGGTATTTTGATGCAATCTGACATACAAATGTTCCAAATGTTTATAAAGAAAATGTTAGTACAAAAATAGTATTACTTTTAGGTTTTCCGAAGAAGTATACTCTACAAACACACAATTTTAGTATCATATTTACATGATTGCGTGAAGAATAATATCTAGAAATACCTTGGCAAAATTGAACAAATCAAAGATACAAAATGTTATATTCAGATACTGGCATTAATGCATTGACAATTACAGATTTTTCTCATCTGATCACTTTATGCATTCTAACCTCTTTATTGCAGTATTAGAATATAAAAGATGTTATCACACACAGAGATCGCTCGTTTTCAAATCAGCAATCGCAATTGGCTGCATTTCAGATAGTTTTTGGTATCGTCACTTAATCGTGGCGCTACTGGTATAAAAAGCGCGCGTAAAAAATATTGAATCCGATATTAAAACTGTATTGCTTAATTTTTAAATTAGTTTTTGAAAATGTATATTGACATTTTGTAATTGTCATATAACAATAGCCTAAGAATTTATAAAACTTAATATATTGACTTCATGTTTGAAATATGTATTATAATGATTCACTTGTATTCATAAATGGCGCGATAACGTAATAATGCAATTTCAATTGTTCACGCGGGACAAGAAATAAGACTTTTGGAACCCTTTCTCCGCGAGTTGTTATGCTTTCGCGATCATAAAAGTTACAGCCAGTTTTAACTCCTTTTGGAACTTATTCGAAAATCAACATTGGTAAGCTGTTTTTATATTTATACTAGTTAAGATGCGTAGATATTATAGATCAACTTTGCAGATTCATATTGTAACTGTCATATGTTATATTTACAGAATGACTGCTCCAGTATATGACTGGGGCTGATCTTCATTTTAACTTGTTCTTGGAACATTCATATTGGTATCTCAATTTTATATAAGAATTAAAATGTATATTATTTACAGACAAATAAGTGCTGCAATATTAGCATGACTGGGGGACTGATCTTTGTTTTAATTTGTTCTTAGAACATTCATATTGGTATCTCAATTTTTTATAATTAAAATCTACAATATATATATATATATATATATATATATATATATATATATATATACAGATAAATGAGTGCTGTTATGATATCAATAATATATCATATTTGCAGCAAATTAAATATTGTCTAATCTAATGTGACATAAAGAGATCTTTTTTTTAAACTTATTTTTTTTAAATCTATGTTAGTAGGAGTATATATCAATTTTATGTTTCCAAAATCACAATTAAAGCATATAAGAATAGTACCACTGTTCTCAATCTCAAATTAGTGGTATCTACATTCTCAAAAAATAGTATCTACATTGCAATAAAATTAATTACATTTCAGTTTGGCTTTATATATTAAAAATTTTAATTATTTCTGGATTTTCAGAATTTTTAAATTTATGTTATAGCTATTATAGCTATCTCGTATTTGCAGCAAAATAACTATTGTAACAGTGATGTAACACAGACAGATTTTTGTTTTTTAAACTTTAAATTTGAAACTTTTTCGAAAATTCTCAGTGGTACATCGATTTTGCATACGCAAATTTCGTGTATTAAAACATTTAAGAATAATTATGTTTCTGAATTTTGCATAAATCATGGTTGCATTTCAAACTAAAGTTAATCATATTTAAATTTGACGTATTAAAAATCATAATAATTATTTCTAGATTAAATATTTAAATTCATATTGTAATTAAATGGCAATTTAATTTAATTACACATTGTAATTTAATTTATATTCATAAATAGCATTTGACATAGTAATGACATGATAAAATCTTAATTGCAGTTCTGTTTGCGGGATGTACTGCACGGGACAAAATATGAAATTTTTGGAACCCTTTCTTCGTATTTATGCAAGTCATTATGCTTCTGCAGTCATAAAACGTAAGTCATGGTCAGTTTTAGACGCTATTTTTGAACTTGTTGCCCGAAAATCAAATTGTTTTTAGATTTTAAACTTTTTTCCGAAAATTCTCGTTTGTACATTAATTTTACGACCATAAATGTCATGATTAAATATCGCTAATTTTAATGGTATATATTTTTGGCGTGCGCACTGTCAGAATTATAACAAAAATTAAGTCGATTTCGGAAAATATAATTGTAACTGTAACCTTTGTTGCATAAAGTTTTTTATAGTTTCCAAAAGTGACTTAATTCTTTTGCTATAACTCGGTGCGCATTTCGAAAATATAAACCATTAAAATTAGCAAAATTTGTATTTTTTATAAACGTTTATTGAATAATAAAAATATTTCCGATTGTTTTTAGTTTATATGTAAATAAAACTGCAAAATGTTCTCTGTTAGAAAATATTTTATTTTCTTTGCTCTACGTCATAAAAATGACAACTAATTAGTTTTTAGTAACTTCCCATGGGACACTCTGTATATTACTACCTAAAGCATAAAAACTAAACATTTCCCATTTATTAAAAGTTTCATTATAGTTGAAAAAGTTTTAAGGCGCAATAAAATGCATCTTATAACTAATTAAACTGCATGGTTAATTATTATTGTGAGATGTTTCATGATGTGCAAAGATTTTTAAGCTTTTTTTGTAAGCAATAATTATAAATTGCACTTACTTGCCGCCTGGTATCACTGGCGACGGGGACTGTACGTCCTTATCCGACCGTGTAGTTGTTCTGAAAAAAAGAGGGATATGTTTAATTTATTTTTAATACTATTATCGTATCTCTAGCATCTTACGTCGTTCTACTGACTTTAAATACCTTTTGTCAATCCATTTTATCAAGATTAACAGAATATCTTTGTATATCAATTTAATCTATCTTTATTTATTGCTATAACATCTATATAATGCATTTAAAATTTATTGTTTATTAATATATAGATTATTATAATTATTATCTGCGCATTAAAATTTCTTTCATCAATTATATGCTGTATTTTCATAATTTATCATGTGTTTTAAGAAAACTATTTTCTTAGACAAAATTATATCACTGATATTATTCGATTATATCATTAATTTAAAAAGATATCTTTTAGAGATAACGATTTTTTTTGCAAAAAACTAGATTAATTCCATTTAAGATTTTTTTTTTTAAAAAGAATCACTTTCGACCTGTATAAAATGTAAAATCTACAGATTTTAGACATTTAAAGATCGACAGATTTTAGAGAGTACAGCAAATAAGAAAGGTCCTTAATGTCAGTAGGATGATTATGTGAAATAAAGAATAAAACAAAAACTGAAAGGATCGCCGGCAACTGTTGCACGACCGCGAAATTGATTGTATCTGCAAAGTTGCACTTTCCCTGATTCTCCGTTCTCCACGGATCACAGAATAACGCGACTTATTTCAGATTCTCGTTAACACATCTCTTTCTTTCTTTGTCTTGGTCATGGATTGTATCTATTGTTACGATATTCTTTGATGTGAATATATCACAAAACTTACTACAAATACAGATTTTAAAATTTATGACAAAATATGATGATGTTACTAATCCGGTAATATTATTAGGCGGGCAAATCTAGTTATGAATAAGTCAATAAGTTCACCGTTAATAAGAACTGTACATTTTCACGATAATTGATTTTTAATTTAAAGAAAGGCACGAATCTGACTGCAAAAAAAAAATAGTTTGCAATGCTTTAAAAGAATTAATAGTTTTTTTATTGAAAAATAACAGTAATCATATTTAATTACTTTAATTAATTCATGAAAATTACAGAGTTTACTTTATTTACATACAGAATTTAATTTAATTTATAACTAATTAGGATATTTAGCTTTTACGAACATATGACGCATCAAATTTTAATGAGGCCTTTTGATGAATTCGGAATTTACATAATTGAATCACTTACTTTTTGGAGATTTTGGCCCATTTGAATTTCAGTAGTTTCTTCATCGTGATATTATATGATTCTCATAGTTAGGAACAGCAATGTATCGTGACAACTTTGATTTCGCACTAACCTTACATTAGGTTTGTCAGCTTATGATCCTCGATCAACCTTGAAAGATACGAAAACGACAAACTCACCCAATCATAAACACTTTGACAATGCTTTCTATTTTCATCGTAACGTGGGAATGTATGTGTGACGCGCGTAAGAATGCAATATTATGATTCAAAATATGAAATGTATAGAAGAAAGTGACGGAATGTATATTGTAACATTTAAAAGAAAATTATGATTATTAAAATAATGGTAGAGATTATTGCTCAGGTATAATTGACAAAATTTAAAAATTTTTGAACTTTTATAAATTTTTAGGATTTATAAAATTTCAAAAATCTTTATAGCTTTTCTTAACTGTAATTATATCTGAAGTTTTAAGTTAAATTCTTTGCTAAATTAATTAACTTGGGAATAATTGGAAGATGTAATTATTCGTACAGTACACTTATATAATTTGACGATTCACAATCAAAAAATACAGAAATCGTGTTAAAAAAGTAAAAGAAAATGTAGAAAATAATTAGTTGCGTTTCAACTGGTTTACATATCTTAATGAAATTAAAAAGGCATTAATTAGAGACGCTATTTGCCGACGTATCGGCCGGCATAGCGCCGTGCGTTCAATTTTCCGACTCATTTGCATGCCAAATAGCTGATCATATAGTTTTTTTATTAGGCATCCGTTCCTATAAGATTGCAACTGAGAAAGTATCGTGTGCATCAGTATGCATAATAAATACATACACATATAATACATATAAACCCGTAAGTCGGTTATATGCTCACTATAGCAAGCACATTCATAACACAAGTGATTGGAAATAAAAAATTTTTTTGCGAATTAATTATTCTTGAAACTAACCAAATAATATAATTTATATTATCAAGCATCTATTATTTTTTAATATTTAAATATTTTAATCTATTTAATTTCGCGTTGGATATTCAGAACTTGCAAAAAAAGTTATGTTTCTCCTTTAAAACTTTCTCTGAAGGAAACAACTTCAAATCTGTCTAAGAATTATAATGAAAATTAAGGTCAGCTGTGTTCTTGTCTATACAATACTCATAAATCGTTTTGTTCAGAAAGAGGTAAAATTTTATAATCCCGCCATTCACGGGCTTTAGTGGTTTTCTTTGCCATCTTCGCTCAATGAGACAATGGTCGTTCACTCCATGCGCAAGTCGCAATTTTAAATACCGGTGCAATTTTATAGCGGCACGGATGCTAAGAACGGTAACTCGCACAATCTCGCGCGACTCGGCGAGGAGATAATGGCAGTCATTACGGGCTGCGAGCTGGTTGAAACGTGTAGTTAACGGTATGCCCCGGTGCCCAAACCTACGGGGGGGCCTTAGTCGCTATTCTTTTGGTCGTAATTAGCCCGTGTCTTCGATACGCTTGAACTTTTCGAAACATTTTCTCGGAATGGAAAGTAGTCGAGATCTCCTCTGCGCAACGGCGGAGAAACTCGGAAGCGAATCGCGAAGTATGTATCTTTCGTGCATGTGTGCTCTTCCGCTTATATTATTCAGATCGGGTTCGATGTTTCTTCTATAATACGCAGTTCTCGCGCGTGCATTTATGCGTGTACTGATCAAGAGCGAACCGCTGATATCGTCTAATTAACTTTATGTAAGCGCGAGATTGAGATATCTATCGCAATGCATTTCTCTCCTGTTCGATATCAAATCTATCGACTGATTATGAATGCAGTTTATTTTGCTGCTACATTCCTCACAAACTATTTATCGAACTACACAAAAAGACTAGATGCATAATAATCAATTTCCTCCTATCAATTTGAATCCATTTTCTTCTATAAGTTTTAATCAAATTGATTGGAGAAGAAAGATATTGATCATAATAAATAAACACAACTATAGCTTATTTGAAATAATTGTAAACAAGATTATATAAGAATGTAAAATTTGTGTTGTGTATTTCATGTTGTTACGAGCTTGATTTTTTAAAATATAAATTCTCGATTTAATATCTTGATGTGTGAGATATTTTCTTTATATATAATAAATCTCTAGATAATTTTATTTCCAAATAAAAAATATTCTCGTTTTTAGCATTATTTGTAATTTATTATTTTAAAAAAATATATTTAAATTTTTTATTTTAATATATTATTTTGCACAGTAAAAAAAATAAAAAGCAATGAATAGTTATTACGCAATACGCATTGTACATGCCATATCAAACAATTTCATCTCTTTGACGCAAGAATACTGCCAATATATTTAATATCTATTATATTCAATGCACTGACTACAATTTTTATCACTTTTATCAACTTTGATATGAATATCGACGACCTTCACCTTATAACAAGATTTAGATGTACTGTCTTGCATGTCATATCGTAAACGTCGAAACATATTTTTCTTAAAATTACTGAAACTGCTTTTGGAAATTGAAAAGATGACAAAAATAGTAATGTAACAAATATGTAAGATACATATTTTTAAGAGATGATATATTACAGTATGTTGTAATTTACTATTAAATTATAGTTTATCAACATAAATGATAATAAATCATATCAAAAGCACGGTAAGTTAAAGCAATTGGACAATTCTATTTGTGACGTGTTACGAAATCTTATGTTAGCAGACAGATTTATTGTGCTAATATACTATTTATTTTTTATCGTGCAAACTAATATATCAAAATAAAAAAATAGAATTTCTTCGTATTATATCTCAACATATCTTGAAAGAGTTATTTGAATTTGAATTTAGAGATGAGAATTGTCACGAAGCACATATTTTATGAAATAGTTATTTGAATTTCGATTTAGAGATGAAATTATTACGAAGCACAACATATTTTCATCTTAACCGTGCTCCATACAAACACCGAACAAACAGTTTGTTTAACAAATAATTATTTCAATAATAAATAATTAAAAATGCAAGTGCCAAACAATTAAAATACAATTTTTATAAAATAGCTTGTAATTTTCAAAAACTCAATTCTAGTGCAATTCAAATAAACTGAAAAAATTGCGTGTGACAAAACATAACATCAATAAATTAAACACGAAATACACAAAGAATATGAAGATTGAAGAATCCCCATTAGCGTTTTTATTTTGCATTTTTAATTTAAAATAAACAAGAACTTACTTGAACCATTTAATTATCTTGCACACACCCATGTTGGATTTAATCGATCGCGCCAGCGGTACAATAAATTGACGTCGCAAACCGATTGTCGACGAATACTGCGATTTCCGGGCTTAGGATACACGAGAGTTACCGTGAGTGTTGCGCGGTCCGCTTCCTTTTCACAACTGAGCTGCGAAACTGTGACAGTGTGTACGAGTGCTTTCTCAGTACTAACAGTTCTGTTAGGCATTATCTAGACACTGCTACGCATTCGCTAATCGTTCTTGCCTTCTTCAATCGTTCCGTAACTTCTGATTTAATTTCACTATTCTAAAATGATAATAAATGGGAAAACAAATTTATTATAGTGTTATCTTTAAATTATTATCTAATTACATATCTTCGAAAATCTTCCTACCAAAATATCTATAAACAATCATAAATTCGATTACGTTGCAAATGTTTTACAGTTTTAAAAAATTGAGAAAAGTTAAATTATATGTAAAATTGTAACAATTAGTACTATTATAAATTTTAATAAATTATTAATGAGTAAATTTTAAGTTTTATTTATAAGAATTTAATTATTAAAGATATAAATTCAAAGAAAATTTTTAATTTATAAAAGATTGATATTTATTAAGATAAAAAACTTTTGTTTTCTTCATGTGATGAATGTAGATATAGCTGAAATCATATTTTTTAAAAGCATATAATTTAAACAAAAATAGATAAAAAATAAGTTAGTCAAAGAAACAAATAAAATTCTAATGTAATTTATCGTGATATCCTTATATTTATTTTATGAAACGTCGGGCATCTAAAAAATACCATTTAGAAGTGTTAAATAATATTAATCCTTCATAATAAAGATTTATTCATCTTTATAGATAAGATTATGCATAGAAACAACGATTCTTGTGTAAATTTATGATATTTTCGTAAAAATTTAAGATCACTAGAAAGCTGAATTCCTAGACAGCAATTATACAATTCGCCGTGTTGAAATTAGCAGGCTTTGTGTGGAATCTCCGTGCGTAACGAAGCGTTCTGTCTGATATCGCGTCTTGAGGCTACATTGTAGCTTTTTTTCGTCGGCTTGGCATACCGGTACCGGTACAATCGGTGCGATGACTGATAACGTTTAATTACGACGTACAGTCGGCAGTACAACTGTAGAATTGAGTCTTCGCGTGTGGGACGAACTGTATCTCGTGAAAGTAAGGGCACAATAAGATGTCGACTAATTTTATCTTAATCCGAGTGATTAACTTTGCTTCCTGTTAAAGCTTGTGGAGTTTAAAAAAATATCTGTTTAAAATGTTAGAATTTTACCATTAATAATACTTTATAAAACATTTAGGTAGTTGCATAAATACTTATGTTTTTTCACAGCAACAGTTTGTTATCTTTATTTTACAGCATAATCCTTATAACATGCGATTTACGCAATACTTAGATAGTTTAACACATTTCTGGCAATAATATTCAATTAAAGATATCTTGTCCAAGAAGTTGTGTATATCATTCAATTTTTATAATTTTTATTATTATTATTATAAATACCAGAAGAACTAAATAAAAAATTTACTTCACCTAAATTTCAAGCATTTATCAATTGTCAAGCTGTTTGATAAGAAATTTTAGAGAAAATGATAGGTAATAATCTCTGATAAATAATCTCTGATAAATGTTACAAAAATAAATTAATAATAGACATATTAAGAATATAGAATAATTTTCTGTTCAATATATATCTTCTGGTATTTATTAGTTAAAGCGTAGAGATGCTTTTGTTTTTCTATATTCACTAACACGTGCTCTATTATTCTTTATATATTACAATTTGCACATCTTATATTTTAAAATAAATAAATATCAATATAAAAGCAGATAAATGTATGAAAGAAGTCGATAATAAAAACAGTAATATAGAATTTAAGTAAATAACGAATAGTATTATTTTTTCTTAAGGTATTCACGGTTTTTTTATATGGCACTTCGATTGTTTCTTTAGGGCGCTTTCATCTCTTGTTTCACGCAGAATTTAAACGCTTCCCAACCTTCGTTGCGTTGTTGAGACTACAATAAATTATTTTGTATTAGTCAACAATAATAGTAATATGTCTATTACATTATGTAATTTTTTCAAGAATTAATTTTGCAGTGTAGAGAATTTTTAATATTTGATAATGCAGAGCCCCTAAGAAATAGCAACCATTTATACAGTTTCATTTTCAGTCATATAGCAAACGTTTCTTCAGGCGTTATCATAGTTTATGTGGGATAAAATATGCTTTCAAAAGTGTTTTTTGAAAAAGAAACATTATTTGTCCTTAAAAGTACTTGCGCAAATCGGTAATACTTTACCTTGAAACCTCTATGCAATCTATCTTTCATAATTGCTATAAACTCCTTATATGAAAGTTGACCATCTCCGTCCTCATCAAATAATGCAAATACCGTATCGATTATGTGCTTCGAAAGCATCAATTCTGTACATATCTTCACAGCACGTTGAAACTCGTCTAAAGAAGTTAAAAATAAAAATATATTTATTATATTTCAAAAAATTCATACTAAAACAAAAAAATACATTTGTGGATAATATAAGTTTTAATTAATTCTTACCTTTGGATATAGGATGATCAGCCAATGTATACATTCGCATTGCTATAGAAAAATCGTCCAGAGTATTCAAAAATTGATAGAAGCGACGGAATTCTTCGAATGTGATACCAATATGCAACTCCGTTCGGTCCAACATTCGATCCAAGTACTTATCATACCTGTGTAATTGTTTAATTTATTCTATACAATTTTTAATTTAATAAAAAAGTGCAGCAATTATTGCATTAAAAAGTGCTTAAACAAGAAAAAATTTGTGTGGAATTGCTTCAAAATTATCTTTTTCATATTTTAAAAATTAACCAAATTAATATTATTCGTTATTGATAATTAGAACTGTTACTTTTATAATTAGACTTACTCATCAGGCTCCAGGTATGTGTATCGTAACAAAATTTTAGCAAAATCTAATTCGTTGATGGTATTGTGTCCTTTGCTGAATTCGTGGAATTCCAGCTCTAATACTTCGTGCTGTAAGTTTTCCATGAACCGTTTGAAATCCTCATATTTTAATTCATTAGTTCCGTCTTTGCCAAAAAAGTGTACCATCAGTGTAGTATCCACAGCGTGACGTCGTTGCAAACCCTATATCGTGTAATACATTTTTACAATTTATTTAAATTTCTCATAAAAGTTAAATTTCAGAATAAAAGTTTAATTTCTAAGTTCAATTGATAGATTTTCTTTATTGGTCACTATGTGAATTATTATATAACATATATCTTGTTGATGAATATCATATTCAAAAAACATACATAATATATTGCCATAATACCTGATCGTCATCGATAAATTGTCCTTGAATTTCTTCCGGCGTTTTTTGGCGTTCTTGTAATTGCTCTAATTCCTCTTTAGTTTCGCCTCCATGGCGTCCTCTCCACGCATGACTGAATATCTTCTCCATCTGTATCAGAGATAGAAAATTATGAGATGGAATAATTGAATAGATGATTGATAGATCGGCAGTATTGCCTTAAATTTATATTTTACTAACGAACACATGTGTCGAAGTTATAAAAGTAAAACGGCAGTAATGATATAACGTCCAGTTAGTTGCATCTGAAATAAGCAATAAATGTTAGTAGCAGTTATAGGATTTTTATTAATATGTTAGGCGGTTTCGATGGAGCCGGTAAGCTGTGTTGTTAAGGCATCGAATGCAAATATCGTCGTTGATCAGGTTTTAGATGGACAGTGATAGTGATCATTTAAATATCGGATTTATGTGCACACCCACACATAGAGAGGGAGTTATATATTGCTATAATTACTGCTTATATGCTAAAATTGCTGAAAGATTTTGTGTAACAATAATACAATACGAATGACAGCAATGTATTATAAAACACTCATAAACCATCAAAGCTATAACACTAAAATTCAGTTAATATCATTGTTAATTATAACATATATCGTCATCTTTTTTCTTACTGTAATCCTGTTTTAATGAATATTACATAACATCTTTGTGTTACGAATATGAAATAAAAAGAAATAAAAATATTGAAAATATTAAAGAAATGTAAATTATAATTTCAAAATAATACTTGGTAAAATATTAAACACAACAAATGTTAGTTCACAATATTTTGTGCAATTATGAACTTACGTAAGAATTTGAGATGATCTCGTTCGATTTATTGTTAGTCGGACGACCTTCGCGAAGCTTTGCCTTGCCTAGAAAATCTTCGCTCGAGGAAATTATGGCATGTAACTAATATTTTTACAGACAAAAAATTAAAAAAACATTAATATAAAAAATTCTTGTGTGTGTTATTAAAAGAAAAGTGTTATTTAAAATTATAGAAAAAAATATATTTACGATAAAAAATTATAAATCAAAAAGAATTAGTGAATAATAAATAATACGTAAATAAAATTAATAATGAACAATACAGTACAAATGTTTATATTGCAATAATACGACATCATTTTCTAAACATCAGTTGACTGATTAACTTTTTATACCATCCTGACTGATGAAAAATTTTCTGAAACTCACTGCACGTTTCGTGGACTCATCTAGATCTCGTTCCTTTAGGCTGCCACCGAGTAAACGACGAATCTACGAGAATGACAAAAAACTATTCATACTAATTGATAATCAGTATAGAGATTTTTTTAGTGGTCTTCCTTGTTAGTGGGTCCAAAAATGTTCCAGGTGATTCTTGATTGTGCTACAGCGCGCATTAATATTATTTCGGGAACTATGAAATAATTTATTTGCAGTAACAAATTACATATTTGTCTGTTAGTTTATTTCGAAATGTAAAGTAGAAAAATAAAAGTTTTAATGCATAAATAAATTAATAGCAAATATAATATGAAATTCATAATGCTCAATAATGCTTAAAAAAATGTTTAAATCAAAATGTAAAATGTGTTATTATTATTTAAAACAATTTTATCTCATTTTTACTTATTGACAATAATTTCTGATAATAGTAATTTAATAATTTTCAAAGAAATAATTTTTTTATCTGTGTGAAATAGAATAGAAAAAAGCAACGCAACTAAATATTTCTATTAATAATAATCTTAATGATTTTCTGCATATATCTATAATAATCTGCAACAATCTTACCACAAGAAATTCAGTTTTGTCGACTCTCTCATTTCCGTCAGTGTCGAACATATTGAAGGCAATTTGAAAACCAGTTTTCGGCTCTGTAATGACATTAAAAGTTTTTGGATTAAAAATTTAGATATAATTAAATTAAGAAATAAAAATCTAAATCTATAAATTATTTTCCGAGTGCACAAATATATAAAGTTGAATATTAAAAAGCTTTAAAAAGCACGACAATTCATAATTTAATAAAATTTTCACCAAAAGCAAATGACTCCAGATTGATCAAAGAAATCGCGAAAAAAGTGTGAAAGAATCTAGAACTTGTATACTTCTCTATCTTGTATACTTCTCGTGAATTCTGAATGATATTCTACGGACATTTACATAAGAACACACTGCATTTAATGCGTACGTTCCGCGGACTATTACAGTTATCACATAATAATTTGTAGCACGCATATCAAATAAATTGAACGCTCTATGCAGATTACGACTTCCCGAATAAGCGGATAACGATCATTGCTTTCACATGAACAAGACGAATGCGGCATCTTATTGTCCGATTTTTCTTTTCTAATGTATGGTTTGTGTATCGAACGGTGCGATTACGTTTTATTTAAGCGTTATGTGCATTTAAATCGCAATTTTTTGTCTCGTAAATATGCGTAAAGCTACCGGCGAGAAACTTACTCGTTAGGATGGATAGAAGAAACAGGTATTCCGTGTAAGAAATAATTCCTGCAAATGGAAAGCGATTTAGAATTGCAACATATTTTAATAACCTCTTAAAAATCGTGCTTAAAAAATAATATTTTTTTCTTAAGTGATATATATATTTGTAATAAATTATTGACAAATTTTAATTTAATGTTTAATAAGTCAAGATGTGAAAATTTAGTGATTTCTTTGGGTAAATATTTATACACGTAAAACGATTCCGTCTCTTTAGCTCGTAAATTCTCGTGATTTTGTCGCATTCCTTCTTAATTTCCTTGCTAATCCGCATTTAAGTATAACGCGATTTATACAGATCTGTAGCACTAAACGCGTTTACGATATCTCGAAGTAGTCGAACACGCGTTAGACACGCCTCACGAGATTTCAGGTATTTATGTGAAACCTATTGCCTTCTCGGGAAGGATCAATAACTTAGAATTTAATGGCAATAACGAGAGGGAGAGAGAGAGAGACTCGCGGATGCATCTAAATTCTGATTTTAAACGTACTCCCTTGCGGCACGATTTTAGCTCGTACGTAATATAAAAAAAGGACTACTTACTGATCGTAGCCACCCCCATAAAATTCCTTTACATTTTAGAAAACGAAGAAAGTTAATAGCCAGAAGAAAATAAAGAAAGCATCGGCCGACAACCGATCCATCGCCAATGATATCTACGCATGTATGGTATATCTGTTATTTCGTTTTTTGTTGGTATTCATAGGATTAGTAAAACAAAATGACATTTATTGTCATAAAAATTTAAGTATATATCAGTGATACACGTGTGTTCGTATTTTGGGGTGTAAAGTTAACACTTCGATATAAAAATACTTCTGATTCGAGTTCTACAAAAGGAAGCTGGAATTCTAATCAAAACTACGGAATTTTTATATCAAGGTGTTTCATACATCTCTTATTTTATCTGAAAAAATTTTCACATTGTATAATGCTAATAAATACATAATTGTTAATTTTTTAGTTTAATTAAAACTTATAAACTTATAAATTTAATTTTCTAATTATTTTTAATATTCTAATAGAAAATATATAGGAAGACATTCATATGTGTTGCACATAAGCTATTGAAATTCTGTACAATTATACATTTTCCTTTCTTCCACCATTTCTAACCACTTCAAAATTATTTAACAACAGTATCAGCCAACAGTGTTTACAGAACCAATACTTTATGCAATTTTATGGTATTACCAGTTATCCATTGAATTCGAAATGTTTAGGAAGCTGTGATTTATAGTACCGTGCGAAAGGCGAGGCGCGATATCTCGATGATGTCTACCGCGAAGCGATTAGGGAAATAATTATCGTAATGTCACGTAAAATAACGTATGTTAGCATAAGGAAGTATCACGACTAAACATAACGACAACGAATAACCGTCGTGATATACAACTAACGGCTGTGCAATTCTAATCATTGCCGCAGTTCCCCATCGATAACTCGCAATCTCCTTAAGTCGTTCTTAATTGTAACGACCGCGCGAATCGAGTATCCTTAAAAGCAGTTCGCGAACTCGTTTATCTGTGTCGCTGGAATTCCGCCTCGCACGCACGCAAAGAGGGAGGGAGAAAAAGAAAGAGGAGGAAGCGGCCGCGATTACAGACGAGGAACTCGTTATTATTAAAGGGAGGTGTGAAACTGGTTACCTTTTCTCATCGCCCCCACCCATTGCCCTTTCGTTCGCTGATTATTTGCATTTCCATTAGCGCGACAAACGTGCGGTGCACGCGTAAAATGTCGGGAAGAAACGCAACCGCCGAAGTGCAGTTGCGCCATTAAACTAATGATATGGCTCTGTCTGTCGCGTTGTGCGTGGGTGGCGAGAACTCGCGTCGAATAAATATGCGTCGTAAATACAGGTTGCGATCGCACGTCGATCGCGATCGATAGCCGTACTTATCGTGCGGTAACGCACACGTTATTTTTCTCGTTGAATAGCATATTTCGGTAGAAAGCTCCGAGTTGTGAACGGCGGCACTTAAAACTCGTTGATTTAAATGGATTGATTTATCAAACACCTTAAACAGTCGTAAATTTCTTGCAACTAAAATTACGAGGTTTTGTATATTGCGAATGGTCGACTCTATGAGCACCGTGCATCAGTAAAAATAATATCTTACAATAAATAAAGAATTCTTAGTAGCAATTATAGAACATATTAACATATTATTTATCAAGTGTCTACTGACCTTTGTCTCGTAAATTTCGGAACATATGCGTACTTCCTTGATACAGTGAAGAAGTCGAATTTCTCATTACTTCAAGCTCTTGATCAGTTAGCACGCGCCTCTTTAGCCTCGCTGAAAGTATCATTAAGGATGCTTATATTGTATCAAAACACGTTGGAAGATGGTGTGCTGCTCGCATATGTAGCTTCAATGTAGATCAAGGAAATGATAGAAACATATTCGATGGCACATAACCAAAGTTTTTTTTTACATTTCGAATAAAGTCAAATAAATTCAATGTTAACAATTTTAAATGAAGCAATATAAAATCAAAATGCTATTGTTATAAAAACAAAAATAATTTTGTTAATATTTTTTTTTTTCATGTTTTATCTTATATTAATAAAATCAAAATGGTATAATTTTACTTCATCATTCTAATCAACTATTTAAAAATTTTTTGCTACAAAAATTAAAACATGTATATTTATTAAACGTATAAATAAATGTTTGTCACATACGTCGAGGTTCGGCATCAATGACACTGTCCAGGAAGTCCTGCGGGGTCATGTACAGTTGACCATCGTATGCCACTGATGCGAATTTTATGAATCTCCTTTCCCTCGTCGTCAATTTTACTGCTTTATGTAAATCATCTTCTCTCTGCAAGAAAAAATATTGCATATTTGCATATACAATGTTGCAGAGATGTATTCAAAAAATTGTAATTCTGATATAATTTAATTAATCTAAAAAATAATTCTTACAATAATAAATTCTATTTATTATTATAGATAATAATATTATTTTTAAGCTGTAGTTACATGTATAATTATAGTATTGTTTCGGATATCATTGTAATGTAAATGCATTTATTTATATTTTACAGATGAACTTTGTGCGCTTGGTGCTACGAATCGTATTCGTTTCATCGTAAAATATGCATCGGGAATGTCGTTAATGCCGGGAGTGTCGTGATAGTTTTGCGCGAGTACGAAACGCCGTATTTTAGCAAATCGTATAGACGAACGTATTTCCGCTGTATGATAAACATTGGGACATGATCAAACTTCCTTCAAGGAGAGCTTCTCGATTTTGCGCTTGGCTCGGAAAAGGGGGGGGGGGCTCGGGGAAGATCGGTTATTATGAGATCCTGGGGTTTTGTCCTCTGTTTTGAGACAATCATGCCCCAATTGGTAAATACGGTCGTCTAAAACGCGAACGGGATTTGCGCGTAACGTCGCACCTTGGATAGTTCGGTTCGATTTGCCTGCGACGTCGGGAGTGCCGTTTAAAGTGTCGCGCGATTTTTGTATTCGGGTACGCGCGCGAGCAATGCGCGCCTCGCGACGCGTGTGAGTGCTTGAGAGAAGGTGGGAAGGCCTAGGAGGCATCGGGCGATGGCAGAACAACGTTGCAGTAAGTAATAATTTTATAAATAATTACCGATTTTACGTTTCTCAAAAATTCTTAATTGCATAATTTATATCTTCACACGTTCATATTATGTCATTTATGAGAAAAGAAGCGGATGATTTATGCTTATCTAATTACAACTCAATGCGTCAAGCAAATCGTGATAGCAGGCACGCGAGTTTCTCTTCATCGCACGCACAGTGCACGCGCCGCGTTAGGTATATGAGAAATCTTTAACACATAAATCTACACTTTTCGCAGTTCATACTTGTATCGCCGATCTCTTTTTATTTCGATTTCATCACGAATATCGGCGGCGGTATACACGATGCGCGCTATGTTCCTATGCAGGTTGTTTTTTACCTGAAATGCGTTGCATTACGAGAACCGTCAGTCCGATAGTAATTTACGTAAACTAGTGCTTAGTGCAACAGTAATTTATCACGTTTATTTATTACGTTTCCCGTGCAACTTACTCCGAATGCAATTTATCTTTCTTACTACTAATTATATCAATCATATTAGCTTATTCAATTTTTGTTGCACTTATTTTCTTAAAAGATATTTTATATAAGAAGAATCAATCAAATTTGCAATCGATAATTTATATGCCTAAATTCTTTAAGACTGAAAACAAGAAATATTTTTCTGTGTAAGAATTCGCACAGGAATTTATACTGAATAAAAAATGCATACATATATACACACATATACGAGACGTCCGACACCTCTCTCTTTTATTTCTTCAGTCTTTTTTCTCAGATACACCGTAAAATGTATCTGTCATTAGCTTGCAGCCAGCTCTCGCTGTAACATACAGCTGTAACTAACAGCACACGTTGTTTCTCCGTAAAAACGTGACGGAATGCGAAGTGCAGATTAGCACGATGTTATGTTCATTACTTTGCCTATCTGCTTGTCAACGAATTATTCGAATCGATACGCATTGACAGAACTTATTTTCTTTTGAGTTGAATGATTTGTTCAATCTTTTAGCTGTAATCAAATATGTTATTATTTTTTTTGCTTTGCAATGTATTAATTTTTGCATTGCACACGCATTAACGCGTGTGTAGAAAGACAAGATAATAATCTTTCATTTGACAAACCGCGTGTTTTAATACTCGGCATAAAGCAAACTCCGAGTCGTATCCTGTTTAAGATTAAAGGAACGGCGTTCGGTGCTAAATCAACGGAAATTAGCTAATGATAGCGCGTAACTCTCTAGATAGAACCACCGTGAAATACGACTGAAAAACGTATACGAAAACCGCGAGTGGTGAACAAAGCTTCGTCCGCGCATTCGTCGAGCGATGCAATTCGAGTCGCCGCCCCGGTGTGCAACGTTGTGTCGCCGGTGCGCACCCACTGTCTGTAATTTAAAGAGAGATTAAATTACAAGTGAGTTTCTACGGGCGCCATTCGCGCTCGGCACTTTCGTTCTTGTTTTAATAAACGATTAAGAATACCTCGGGGGTGGACAGAATGAAAAAGAGAGAGATCGCTTCGTCGGAGCTTCTCGAATTTCCGTTTCCCGCCTTTTGGTCGGTTCTTCATCGTTGTAAGCGCTCGTACACCCACTTTGTCGGCAGAAACTATTCTTCCTGCGAGTCCTATTCGTTTAAGGCAAATTTACACGGTTTTTGCAAATGTATACATCTCTCCGTAGTATCGCTCAAAGAGGCATTAGATTGTACCAAGTAAATAACAAATCTACAACGATAATTTGAAATAGAAAACTGGAAAATCTCCATTAAAAATAAGATACAATATTTAAATAATTGGAAAATAAACGCGTCAATTTATTTTACACAGTTTGTTAATTTTTTGCTCAATTTATTGCTAAATCAATTTTTTTGTATAAAATTACTTTCAAATAACTATGTACAAACATATTTAAAAAATAATTTATAATAATAAAATATTACTACTCACAGATAATTAACATATGACGGAACTTGTGCATAAATTTTTGGTCGCCGATCTCTTTTTTGCAATTTTTTGGAATAAAACGCAGATTACTCATCCGAGACGATCATTTACATTGCTCCGCGTAAATTCACCTTTACTTAGTTACATATAGCTGGCGTATGTGTGTAATATATAGCCACATAAGCTGCAGTTAAGCGCCAAACGATATACTCTCGCGAGGCTCGCGTAACGATGTGAATTTGCGACCTCATCCGGCCAGATTGAATCGTTCAGCTCAGGAAGCATCAAATCACCGGGAACGTATCGCCGTTGTGCTTTAAGAATCCACCTCGTCCCGCATCGATTTAAATTATCATAATGCTCGTGAGGTGGATATCTTGCACACACAAGATTTCTATTTATTCGTGAGCAATGGCACATTGTTGACTTGTGCAGCAGCTTCAACTTCCGCATAAGATGATCTTTCAAATGACAGTTACATTTGTATCTTTCGTATTTTCTTGGTCTCATCCGTTTTGTAAACGCCAATTCAAGTATTGAAATCATCCATAGATTCGCTACATTACAACGGGGGGTGAATGAAATTTCTTGCACGGATGAATGAGATTTCCAATAAAGAAATACACGCAATCATAGAGCAATCGAATAAATCAGTCTCTACTGGCTTTATCAGGCCTATTTTCGTTAATATTAAAATAATAAAAGATAGTAAAATTACAAATTTTATAATGACAGTATTTTTGAAAAGCTAGAAAAAAATGATCGAAATTACGTTTATTTTTCTTATAACTAAACATTTACAATAAAGTACATTGTTTATATTTCTTATTGGATTTATTAATTTTTAAAAATACATTATGTCGTCTCAGATTTTTTTTCGCTTTAAACGACTTTATAAATAGTTGTAGATATGTTGCGGCCACCGCAGAATCACGACTCTTGGCAAGCTATATTTGTCATTCGATGCATTTCCATAAGTGCCATCGTAACCAGATATCCTTTCGCGTGGATCAGGTGTCCTTTCGCGATGTTGCTTCCACAAATAACGTACGTTCCATTGCAATAAAAAGATATCTACAATGGCTTGCATTTGTAATAGCGCCTCTCTTGTGACCACGCGGTAGCTTATCCTGCGAGTTTTCGTAAAAATTTTATGAGATGTTGGCACACACGAATAGTATTTCATCCGTGGAATTAATAACGCACGCGCAGATTTGATAACTCACTTTAATAATAATACCAACAATAATAACTTATAATACGAAAATAACGACGCTTAATACCAGTCTATTAATTAAAAATAAATATTTTAATGTGTTATAGTTAAATTAGTAATACTCGGCGAAATTAATGTGCCAAAAGTAAATAATTTCAGCTAATTCTTTATCTCAAAATTAGAAAAAAATATGGTATATGTTTTCTTTATCAAAATATGATTATATTGTACTAAAGTCTTTTATTTTATATTATTTTTTTATACATCTTCTTCCAACTCCGTAAAGTTTTTTTTATAGATAGTCTTAATTTATCAACATCGCGATATTAATCTTTGCTAAGGTTTACCAGGGGACTAGGACACATTTTACGAAACGTTTTTACGAAGTGACATTCACATTCGAAAAAATTTTATAGTCCTTTATTTCGAAGTCTCGCGGAATCTGTTTGGAAACACCGACGGCAGCAGCCGTCAGTTTACGCAGCGATGTTTCCGCGACGGTGAATTTATGTTCTAGCATAACCATAAATCGATTCTTTTTCTCCTTTGTACGCCTAATACGCGAGACTGGCGATTTATGGGGCACTAAACACCGTTAAGGTTAATCTCGTTGTTAAATTCAAGAAACATTCAACTGCCTACTTGCTTTTAGTGCAACTCGAAAATTAGTGCAACGGGGTATAAATAAATTTTTTTTCGTCGAAAGAATTATAACGCGCATTTTAAGAGGAACAAGAGTATATTATAATTAAAAAGAAATTTGGAAAAAAATGGAAAAAATCCTTAAAAGTTATGAATCTTTATTGATTTTGTTGTTTTGATTAATTTGTAAATTTAATTAGAATGTTAATTAATTTCGTATCATGATGAAATAAAGTTAACTAAATTAATTTTAATTTTGTAGGACTTTGCAATTTTATTTTTCAAAAACTGTCTCTACGTTGAATCGTGAGATTTTTTCAGGATATATTTATGTATCCTTGAAATGTTTATCATATATTTATTTGTCTACATACGTGTTCAATACAATATTTAATAATGTTACATGAAAGTTATCATGTATAGTACATTGCCAATTTATATCATTTAACCTTCACAA